TGAACATCAGGTGAACAGAATGTTTGAATGTTATGCCTTTAGTTTAGAAACTTAAAAGCTGTTTGAAATTAAAATTTAAGAAAATTAGGTAATGTAGAAGTTTAGTTTGATGTGAGCGGGAGTTTGGATCAAGGCAACGCAACAATTTATCGAAAATGTTCTCCTTCGAGTGATGGTTTAACTACGATCATGTTTGTTTTTTTATAAGCTAATTGTAGGCGTCAAAGTTCTAAATGATATGCTAAAAAGTGATTTGACTGTTTTGTATCCCAGTTTTGTTTATCATCAAATTATTTTATTGATTTGTAGATCGACTATTCCCTCTGCTCCATTCTTTTCTACAACAACGGCAACAAGCGCGACAACAATCTCAGGGTATAAAAACTTTTAGATTGCTAATAATACAAAGATTATTGATAAGAGAGTACAGTAAAAAGGATTTTCAGATCCACGACCAACACTTCTCCAAAGCAATCAACGACAACAACACCAATTATGACCACAAACTCTAATGGTAGGTGTACAACTTTTTACTTCTAAACGAGAATTTTTTTTCGCCTGCTCTCTTGTGAGTTCATCATCCGATGTGCCAAACTATGCAATTGTGGTTGTGAACGCGGATATTTCGAGCGCATACGGGAGATTCGGTGGCTTTTTCTACACGGCTCTCGATTGCTCCCAATTATGCACCTGGGATTATGAAAGTCTTGGTAAATGCTCGGGGTGAGTATGGTAATATTTTTTAAAAAATCACTGGATTTAGATTTGCATTTACTCCAGATCCCGCTGGGGGTCGAGGCAATTGTACGGTGTTTCGACGTGAATGGCAAGTGGAGGCTTGTGTGAATGTCGGGTCTCAACTGAGCAACACAACCGTTTACTCCTTTTGCACTCCGAACACCTCCGGGTGAGTGAACAACGACACAAAATTGTTATAAATCACCAAGTAGCTTATAGAATAGCATTGTTGAAACAAGTTAGCAAATCGCGATAAACTTACGTTGTCTTAAAAACTAGCATGACTTTTACTCTTAAAGTTTTTATTAATAGCATGCTGGCCCTCGAAATCTCGAAGTTTGATGCCAGTGGACTACAAGTCCCAGCGAGACTCTTCATTCCAAAAAGGCTGTTTGTACTTTGCAAAATTCTAGATGGAGCTCAAGTACATCTACTCCGAGTACAACGTCTTCCACAACGACCACTACGAGTACGACGGATACTACAACAACGACTACAATCATCACCTCAACTACAACAACAAGCACAACTACCACCACAACTACAGTATTACATTTTTGATGGTATTTTGTATCCTGTACATCTAGGCAACAACTACCACAACTACAACTTCAACAACTATAACTACAAAGACTACAAGCACAACTACAACTACTACAACTACGAGTACAACTTCTCCTACTACTACCACTACCATGTAAAAGACTTAAACTGTGACTAGAGAAAGACAATGACAATGTAAATTCTATGTAAACCTTTTAGGGCTTCAACCACAACTCTACCCACAATTATATCCACTACAACCTCTACAACTGGAAGTTAGTTCGTGATTGAATTTAAACTTGACAACAAGGCTAACACAAGTAATAACTTTAGCATGCCCAAATGGTTACCAACTTTTGACTGAGAACTTTGATGACCAAGCGGTGCCACAAGGGAAATTTGTTGGCTACTTGACGTATATCGACTCTTGCTATGAGAGTTGCCGATTGAATTATGGATTGCAACAGTGTGTAGTAGGTTTTTAAATTAAAATTTGGAAATTTAAAAAACTTTCCTAACACATGTTAAACGTATATCCAAAAATTTAGGCGTTCACATTTGAGCCACAAGCGAGAGGACGATGTTATGTGTACTCCTATTTGCCGTCAATAGTTCCGGTTGACCTAACAAACTCACTCCCTCTGTACGGGTTATGTAATCAGACTCAAAATGAGGTAAATAAAAATTTAGAATTCTAAACTTAGTAGGTTTCAGACAACTCCAACTTCAACTACTACTACAACAATACCCAACACCGTTACGACCACAACGATTGAAATAATACCAACAACAACTACGGCAACAACTACAATCTCTACAAAAACACCACCTACATCAACTACGATCAGTACCAATGCAACAACAACAACTACAGCCCCAATCACTACTACGAAGTCGACAAAACCCATAAGCTTCATTACAACCGGCAGTACTATTAGTCCCATCGCAAAAACTACTACATCAACAACCACAACAACATCTACAGATGGTCGCACTACAGAGGGTAATACAAGTGGAACAACAACAACTTCTCCCAACTAACGGAGACACAAGTACTACTGAAGCGGGTACAATCAATCTAAAGACCACAACAATGACTGCCACAACAAATGAAACCCCGAGGAGCAATGATTCTTTAACTTCAACAACCATCGGTGGACTCTCAACGAAGACATCTAAAACTACAACAGGAACAAGTGAGGTTACTGGCGGAACAACTGAACCAGGCACCGCTGAAACTGGATCAACTGGAGCTTCTTCAAGTAGTGAAGCCTCCACAACTGCTTTTATTGCGCGTAGCACAAGTGAAACGTCTACCACTGGAGAGACTTCTACAACCGAAGGTGGAACTCCGACCACTAATGTTAACACAAATCCAACTACTACTAATAATTTACCCACTGAAATTCCTACAACTACAATAGAAACAACCGCGAGCACAGATGGTACGGAGGGAACTACAGTAGAAGTGACAACTGGCGGCGCTAGTTCTACTGAAACGTCTCCTACAATAAGTATCACTCTTTCAAGTACAACAATTCAAACAACTGCTAATAGTTTATCGACAGAAAGTCCTACAACAGGTGAAACAGCGGGAACTACTGTCGAAACGACTGACGGAGCTAGTGAAAAGTCTTCTACGACAAGTTTTAGTGCTTCAAGCACAGCTGAGATGTCAACTATCGAAAATAGTGAAACCACTGTTAGTGAAACTAGCACAACAACAAATGAAGTCTCAAGCACTGACTCTAGTACAAGCTCAACAGCCACTAGTAGTTTTTCAACGGAGACGGCAGAAACTGAAACCGTGACCACAATAGCGACTTCTTTGGCGTCAACAACAGAAGCCACCAGCTCTGATAAGTCAACTACGGCAGCTGAGACTACAGAAAACCCAACAACGACTGAATCTAAAACTACTACCAAAATGACATCCGAAGCAATAAGCACAGAAACTGTGACTAGTGGGAGTTCTACTTTGATGTCTACTACAATTGGTTCAACGGCATCACCCGAGTTTTCAACAATCTCCACCGATACCACAGCAACAGAAAACACAACCTTCCAACCGACAACAGAAAAATCAATTACTGCAACATCGTCTACTGAAATAGCCTCAACTACTGCCGGTAATACAATTTCTCAAACTACGACATCAGAAGAAACTACTACCGTAAAAAGTTCCATGGGTACAACGACAGCCACTGCAGATACCACTGAAAGCACAAGTATTTTGAGCACGACTGAATCGTTAACAACAACACAAGCACAAACAACAACAGCGGGTGATTTGACAACAACAACTGAAGCTATAACTACAACACCAAGTGGAACTACGACAAGCCAAGAAGCTACAACTAAATTGACCATTACACCAAGCTTAACAACTACAGGAACCCTGTCAACAACAGTGGCAGCAACAACATCAACAAACCTACCTATAACGACAACAGTTTATTTGACAACTACAAGCTCTCTAACTTCAACTACAACAGCCTCGACAACTCATTTAACATCAACAACTGCGGAATCCACTACAACAGCTGAATTGACTACAACTACTTTTACAACGAGCACTGAGGTATCAACGACAGCCACAAAAACTCTTGATTCTACAACTACCACTGAACTAACAACTGATTCTACAACTACCACTGAACTAACAACTGATTCTACAACTACCACTGAACTAACAACTGATTCTACAACTACCACTGAACTAACAACTGATTCTACAACAACAGTCAAGCTTACGACTACAACCGAGTCAACGACAACTATCCCAGATTTGACAACAACTGATAAACCAACAACTACAACCGACGCCACCACAACGGAGCCAGTAACAACGACCACAGCAATGCTTTCTACAACCAAGCTTTTCACTACAACTGTTGCTAGCATAACAACAGAAGAAACTACAACTGACAGCACTACTACAACTACTACGACAACAGCAACTACCACTACAACGACCACAACTACAACAACAACGACTTTGACTACAACAACTTCAACAACTACCACTACAACAACGACAACCACTACAACGACCACGACCACAACAACAGCCACGACTACTACGACCACTACAACAACAACAACTACAACTACAACGACAACGACGACAACCACCACTACAACGACAACTACGACCACTACAACAACAACAACAACGACACGACTACTACAACTACTACAACCACCACAACAACTACGACGACAACGACGACAACAACGACAACGACAACAACAACAACAACGACGACGACGACGACTACTACAACTACTACAACCACCACAACAACTACAACTACAACTACAACAACGACAACAACAACGACGACGACGACAACAACAACAACAACGACGACGACGACTACTACAACTACTACAACCACCACTACAACAACAACAACTACAACTATGACAACCACCACAACTACAACAACGACGACGACTACTACAACTACCAAAACTACCACTACTACAACAACTGATTGTCCTAATCCAAAAAGTAACTTTTGCTATTTACCTATCTATTGTTCACATTTTTGTAGAATGTGCTAAAACCACAACGACCACAATCCCTACTACGACGACTCCATTGGTCATCGACCCCCAAATACGTGAGTACCAAGAGTAAAAGATGGTCAAAATCATTCAATAGCTTTAAGCTCGAAACCTGTAAAAAACATCCTGAAACTTTAGCTTGTCAAATGTGCACGCAAAATTTGGCCACGTTGACAAACAGCATAACAGTCGGGAAAAAGAGCACACTGGGAACAATGTCTTTTGGATATTCGTAAGGCCGAAGCCTGGAAGGAAAAAACTACATGTTACCGTTTAGAATCGATACGACAACCAACTGTCTGATCGCCAACTGGTATTGTTATGCCGATCAGTTCAGTAGCGTAAGGTTTTGGGTCTGCAACCAAAGAAATCTTTTCATTTAGACTCACTTTGATGTCTATGCGACTTCTTCGGCAACGGTACCAGTCTCCCAGTGGAATACTTGCCTATTTACGGTGAGGCTTGAGAGTTCAATCAAGATTGTTTTCATATAAAAGTACACAAGAGCTACTTGTCTCTAAAGACTAGAGGATCAAAGCCTCTAGTCTTTAGTCTGAAGCCAGTAATAGAGGACTAGAGGATTGAAGCCAGTAATAGATCGATCAAATTCAGCTTGGAATGAACTCGACTGACTCAACTCCGGGATATACGCCATTCACTTGTTCGGCCTCTCAAACATGGCAATTCAATCAGGTGGTTTTACTTAATATTTGCAAGCAAAAAAAAGATTTTCTTGAATAGTAACTAAAACTCAAAGATGAAATAAATGTAAAAAAAACTTCTCGATTGATCCTTTATTTTATTTTTCAGACAAACTTTGACGCCTGGAGTTGCTACGATTCGTCAAATTCTTGTTAAGAAATTGTTTTCCTTTTTGTTTTGTGGAACTTTGTCTGTGTAGAAAGCATTGTTGGCCAAATTTCTTTATGATCTTTGAGACTTCATGTTGTTTCATATTGTTTTGTTTGCGTTTAGAGAGAATGTTTGCATTCACTGAAATCAATTACGATAATTACATGGTGCTAACCTTAAAAATTTAAACTAAAAATATTACAGTTAAAATTTTTCATTTATCCTTGATCCGACGATTTTGGCGTGACTCGAATTCCACTTTCCGTTCAACTTCTGTCCCAAGGTTTTCTATGCAAATTCAGCAATATTAAAAAGTGGGGTTTGCCATTTTGCTACTGCCAACAGTTCCCAACGCGGATGAACACGCTCAAATGAGATCTGAACTGTTTGGTTGCTCTCAAACCAAACAGTTCAGATCTAAACTAAACTTGGAGTGTCCACAATATGTAAGGCTTTTGATAGATAGAAAACTCGAGATGTAAAAATGAAAAAAATGTGGTAACATCTTGGTTTAATCTGAGTTTGACAGTGATTTGGAATGAAAAAAGCTTTGCTATGTCTAGTGAGACTGAAATAAAAAGTAGGTTGAACATCTTAAGCAGTCAGTTTAGTACCAACTATTTAATAGCTCTAGGTATCGAGCTGGCTCTAGATGGTACTAAACTGACTGCTTAAGATGTTCAACCTGCTTTTTAAGCTTAGTTAAAGCTTTATCAATTGCATCAATTTAGAGTAAAGCTTGAACCAAACAATAATTGAAACCTTTATTACAAACCAATCACAAACTGAACTTTTAGCACCCGATTACAAAAAGTTACCCGTTACAATTGTATCTCAGTTGTTAAGTAAGTTCTTTTGCTCAAAAAAATCACTCCTTTGGGATGATAATTTGTCCCTTTGGACTGACATCAAAATAGGATTTCAAGTACGAGTTATTGCAAGTTTTTGTCGTGAATTGCCATTCCATAAGATTTTCATAGGTTTGACGACGGTAATGGCCTTGGAGGAGACGGCGGCACAAAGCACAGAAGCCAGTTCCATCGTTCATCTCTGGCACCACTCTGGAAATAAAGGATTTTTATTTTAAGCACAGCTTCATCTTGATAAGTTCCTGAAAATGAACTTAAATTGGTTCAAAAATGAAAACATAGAAAACATAGAAAACTTACAACGCTATTCATGCAAATCTATGTCTTATCCGTTTCAATTTGCTTTTGCTTTCAATTTGCTCGTACCTAACAATGATCATAAAGTTGACAAATATCAAGTTTTGACACCTTATGTACAGGCTATAGATATAAAAATTGAGGTTACAGATGAAATTCTCTTACAAATCAGCAATGTACTGTAAAACCAACTGATATCGTTCTTTCCATTTAAAAAACTCCAAATACATTGTCTTGTTTGACCCGACAACCTCGAGATATTTAACAAACTCTTTCAAATTTGCGAAATCGTCAATTGCAATATATGAAGAAGCAGGAATCTAAAGGTAAAACTTATATAAATATTTTCTTTTCAAGATTTCACCTGTAAATCGGTGTAAATCGATCGCCGGGCCACAATTGGAATCGAGTCTCTTTTCATGACCGTAGCGAAGAATTTCTCGGTCACATAGTCTTCGCAATATGAGTTCTCGATCGCCATATAGAATTTGTATTCTCTAAAAAAAGCTATGTTTTTGTTATGGTTAAATTGTTTTTAACTGTCATTGAATGAACAAAGACTCTATATTTCAACTATCTTTCTCCACGAGAAACAATGGCCATGCCAATTCAGCCTTGTCTCACTTGACTATTTCGTGTATACAATCGAAATTCTGCTTCAGCACTCCATCACAATCTTTCGGTGTTCGCTTGCCACAAGCCCCGAAAATCTCTAGCTAAAAGTTATGATAAAATATTCGTGTCTAAGTGTGACGTATGTTTTTCACTCATATTTCTAGAATACCTTTAATCCAACTGTTCGCAAAGCCTCCATCAATGGCGCTCTTTTGTTGACCGTCTGGCAATTCGACCCAATCCACAGTGCCATCTTTTCATCGCTTTTCTGTCCCCAAATTGGCTCATAATCAACTAAAAGCTTTATTTTTATATAATTACTTAATTTTGGACTAATTATGATCAAAAAAAAGCTGCTAACCCTTCATTTTAGAGCTCAGCCGATGAAAATGACCATAAGGATACCAAATATCGGAATTCCGGGTGAAGTACATTGTCCAGTTGACAAAATCTGAAAGCAACTTTGTTTAAAAACAAACTACTTGCAATATTTCAAATAATTTCTGAAACAACTCACTTGGTGGCGCCACAAATAAGCCATTTGTTGGACTCTCGAGACTCCACCAAACATATGGAATCTCATCATTTCTTGTCCCATTAAATGGATAGCTTAAATGCTGATTGTCGAAATCGGGATTGTGAAAAACGACAGCTGAAGCATTGACGAATTCGGCTGAATCGCTTGTGATATGACATTGACCCTGGAAAGATTCTGATACTACAGATCAGGAATAGCATTTGGAGAATGAAGGCGAAAGCTGTAGGAGTAGAAAAAGGGAAAAATTAAAAGATTTCTTATGAGATCCTGAACTCAAAAAGGTATGCCCATTGCATCTTATTGTAGCTATTGCTAAAGTAAGCAATATTAGTGTCAGTAGTGTCAATTAGGGATGTAACGGAGCCTAGTCCCAGTGCAGTCCAGTGGATTGACTAGACTGGGCTGAGAACTTGAGCTGAACCCATGCCTTCTATCTCTAGTAATTATATTGCCACTCACTTACCCTGGTAGAAGTACAAGCGCTCAAGAAGTGCTCATCGGTGACTGGTCCACGAAAGAATGGAGTAGCAGCATAGATTAAAACCTTTGGAATGTAAGGACCTAAAGATCTAGGTTTTAATTTACGAAGAACTTGTACCTCTATGAATTGCAGGCTCTGCCGTGTATGTTTTTAGCTTTTCTTCTGGAACATCCGACTGTTCAAGCAAACGATAGAAAATTAAGAAGAAACCGATCAAAATGAGAATTAATAGGAAATTTCTTCGCATCGACGAGTGAAATGGAATCTGAAGTCTGGTTTGTTATCTAGCAACAACTCTATTGCAAAATGAAATGATAATGTTAAAATGCGTGTTTTGCAAATAAAAATTGAGAATAAAAAGGAAAAAAAGTGGCGAACAATTCTCGAATGCGAAGGGAATTTCTTGTTTGCACAAAACCCTTTCTCGTTTCCCATAGAGGTCCTCGTTTTGTAAAGAGAAACTAGACTACGCATTTCAATGTTGATCATGGTTGAAATGGTTAATTACATTTCAAATTAAACATTTCTGTGTTCTATTGGCATATAGTTAAAGCTAAGGTTAGCAAGACGTGTTCTTTTTTACTGTTTTTGACGCCTCCAGGTGCTGGATAGACTTTAGGGACCCCCCCCCAAAAAAGGGGGCCCCCCGGGGAAAAAAAAAAGGCCAACCTAGCAGACGGCAGTAATAGCAAGTCTACTTCTCTCTCTCTACAAGTCCAGTTCTCATCTTTCCAAATACTTTAGTCCAGATTGCTAAGGTATCTTTATACTAGTACAATACTTTGAAGTTTAGAATACTTATGGAAAAGGTAGTGAAGCTTTCAAAAGCCTCTTTCATAGCTACACAATCACGGAATATCTGTGAAAACTTGTAGAGTAGTTTGAAGTATTAAAATGAATCTATAAACTTCTTGATTAGATTTAAAATTTTCAAATATAAAACAGTTAACATTTTATTCAGTTTTTGTAACTCCTAAATTTCTTGAATCACCCAAACATTTGTTTCATTTGGATCCCCGAGAGACGAGCGCTTGAACTCACAAACGTAGAACAAAGTAGTAGACAAAAGAATTTTCCAAGCTTCCTAGCAAGGCAAAATATTATTGTTTATACCCAAAAGCTAAAACAAAAATATTAAAAAAATCTTGAGCTTGTAGACGAATGTTGGTGTCCAGTAGTGATACTCGAGCTCTTCTCAATGTTTCACTCAATAATTCATTTCTCTATTCATTTCTACTCCTTTCTCTTTTCATTGATGTAGTGCTTTGTGGGGTTTGTACAAACGTTTACCTCTCGCATTTCCTCGAGGCTCTCTTCACAAACAAACAAACAATGACTCCCCCCTACCCCCAAACTTCAAACCGATCCTCCTTTTACACACAACATTTACCAACTTCAACATCACAAGTTTTCATGGAGTGGATAAGTGAGAGAATTGTGAGTAGAACTTTCATAAGTGAATTGTGAATTGAGTTAAATTTTAAACATGCATAACTTTCATAAAGGTAATTGCAATTTGCGTAAGATGCTGAAAAGTTTCAAGTTTTTTAGAAGGACAAAGCTTTTAAAACATTTGATTTATGTTTGGATCTTCTAAATATTATTTCAAATGCTCTGACAACACTTCTTTCAAAAACCCAATTAGCCAAAAAGTAAAAGTTCTTCAAGGAAAGCATTTTTAGGGTCAAATCATCGAAAAAATAGAAACAAGAAGAGTCTTCTTTCTGGGCTGTCTAAGGAAACGTTTCAATTTCTAGATTCAAGAACTATTTTGACTCCTTTACTAGCTATAGAAAATAAGCCTACCAACTTTTTTAAAAATATAAATCAATTAATGAGACTTGACCACTTGGCTGATGTGATTTTGATTTAAATCGGGTTACGGTATTTCTAAATATGTTTTTTAGAAAGCTTTTGATGATTTCCATATCAAGTCTATCCTTTGATCTGATTCCCTTTCCCTCAATTGCTCTCCACTCAATCAAACAGTTGTCTCTCTTTCTCTCTTTTCCCATTTTGATCTTTTCTCTCGAATTCTATCGTAGTTTGTTGTTTGATAACGCCACTAAAATAGTCAGTATCAGTACAGAAAAAAAAGCTGTTCAAAAAAAACCCACTTTGTGGGCGGAAATTCCGCAGAATTGGCTCCAATTTCTCTCATCTCCACAGCCAAAAGGGCGATTTTTCATTCAAGAAGATTGATGGCTACAACAATAAAACCATTGATTGGTGAGTATTCTGTTAATAACTCTTTAAGAAATCTATTGCTTTTAGGTGTGAAAGTTCTCGAATTTGGCGGACTGGCTCCAGTGCCCCATTGTGGGTTGATTCTATCGGATTTCGGCGCTGAGGTTACTGTAATTGAAAAGGTAAGTTCATTTCTTAGCTTTATGAATTGAAAATCAATTTAATCCATGATTTAAATTTGTTCAAAGTGAAAACACTAATTTCCGGGGCATTTTTCTCGGGGCATTTATTGGTAACGGTAAATTCAAGAAATGAGTGCCCCAGTAACGTATGCTTAAACTTTTGAAAGCACAAAGTACCTCAAAAGCCTCAAACCTATGGAATAAAACTTTTAAATATGATAACAACAATAAGATTTAAAAGTAAACCAAATTTTATTCATTTTCAGAAAGGAGGCGGTGATGTTGAGCAACGATTAGGGCGTGGAAAGAAATTTATCCATGCCAATCTCAAATCGAAAGAAGATCTCATGGAAATCAGAAAACAATGTTTAAAAACCGATGTAATTCTTGATCCTTATCGACCGGGAGTTCTCGAGAAGTTGGGACTAGATCCAGTTGAATTGTTGAAGGTGAGACCTAAAGACTTTGAATAAAAAGTCATCTTAAATCTTCAGGAGAACAAGGGTCTAGTCGTTTGTCGATTGACTGGCTACGGTCAAGTGGGTGCAATGTCTCAAGAAGCCGGTCATGATATCAACTATACAGCAATTACAGGTAATTAATTGAAGTAATAAATTCGTATTTTCATTTCAGGACTTTTGCCAACGATTGCTGGTCATAACAGAAATCCGCCTTGGCCACCGGCAAATTTGTTGGCTGATTTCGCTGGCGGTGGACTGACAGCAGCTTTTGGGATCGTGGCTGCTTTGTTGAATCGAGCTAACAATGGTATTTTAATTGTTTAACTGATCGTTTGTTATATTGTGTAAACAAAAATGAAATGCAGATAGCTTAAAATCAATTAGTCCCGTATTTTCCTACAATAATTCAAAATCTGGTTGCAATATTGAAAGTACAAAATTGTTCATTTCACTGAATTTAAAGAATTTTTCATTAATTAAACCCTAAGCCTCAACATACTAGAATTCATTTAACTACCTGTCATTTCCAGGTGGTAAAGGCTGTATCATTGACGCTTCAATGACTGAGGGACTCGCCTATCTAGGCACTTTCATCACAATGTACAAAGATGTTGACATGCTATGGAATCAACCATACGCTTCATTCTCTGGAGATTGTCCAATTTACAGGTTTTAGAAAGATTTCTTTCATTGTTAATCCCTTTTCCAGGAGCTATGAAACAAAAGACGGAAAATTCATGTCAGTTGGTTCACTAGAGCCGCGCTTCAATCAGATTCTCTTTGATGGTTCGAGCTTTAAATTTAAGGTTTTCAGTATCAAAATTTAGTGTTGGATACAGAATTAACAGTCGGTGATGTGTACGAAAAACCACAAGAGGTGGTCAAAGAGTTGGAGAGAATATTCAAGGGGAAAACAAGAGACGAATGGACAGAGATATTCAAGGGTAAGTGGATCGTTCAAATTCTGAATAAAAACTTAAGACAAAGCTCACTTTTAGTTATTCCTTTATAAATTTCATTGCCTGTTCTATAGTCGTTTAAAAATTGAGTGATCTTTCGTGAGATCCCATAAAGTTTCAGAGCATTTACCTGAAGACAAAACTCTGAAGTCGAATTGTGCTGTTCACTCAATATGGCTGCTGTTTAAGTAACACAACGCCTTAACGGGATGTAGAATTTTGTAGCAAAAATATAGCCAAATTAAAGCAAAAATTGGTGGCAAAGATTTGGGCTTATTGATTATCGATTTTCCTTTCACTTTGTAGATGATACAAAAAGAAGATATTGAGCTGGAAATTTTGTGCTCGAAGGTTTTTGAGGTCGAGGAATCGATTCGAGCGTAGTCTCATATTTGATAGGAAGGTCTGACAGTATGCCAAGAACAGTCAAATTCTTGGATTAGATCATTAAGATCACAAATTGTAGGCAAAGACGCCTGTGTGGCTCCCGTTCTCGACATTCATGAGGCCGGTGATTTCCCGCATAACAAGATGAGGGAGACTTTCACGAAAGATGGCACTAAATGGATCCCAAATCCGGCACCCCGACTCTACACAGGAGATCAATTCAAAGCATTGACCACTAAATCGAAATTGTGATTTTCTTGAAACAGCCTTGTAAATGTATCCTCTCATTGCTTCACTTGCTCTACAAAATTCACTCTTGCCAAGTTCACTCACTTTTAGCAGAATAAAATGTTTGTATTGCCAGGAAACCAATTTGAAACTGAAATTTATCTCAAATTTAAAACAGAATTATATTTTTGATGTCAAGATTTCAAAATTTTTAGCTTTAGTTTGGTTTTTAACTATGATTTTTTTAAGCCTAGTCTCATGTTTAAGAAATTAAAAGGGTTTAGAAGATTCAAAATGTCCAATGTGTAAGGGAAAATTCAAAATCTCACCCCTGAGATTTTGAATTTTCCTGACTGAGCCAAAATTTCCATAGTGTAACCATTTATAGTTTTAGTTAACCAGTTGTTCTTCTTAAAATACATGGAACAGGCCAAGAAACTTAATTCCTTCTCTAGTTCGATGAAATTAAAAGCCTATAACATTCATTCACTTCAAGATTTCCGAAAACTTAGCCCTTCCAAACCATCCAAAAATCGTGCCAACCATTGATTCAATGAAAAAAACGCCTAGGGGAAAGGGGCAGAGAATAGAATGGACAAGTCAGAAAGGCTTTTCTCTAAATCTCTTCAAACACTTCAGTCTCTCGACAATTTCCGTTGGGGGACTAGCCAGGGGCAGTTTGCGAGAAAAAAGGCGGCTCTTTCTCTGTTTCCTTTAACTCCCCTCCAATCGATAGTCACCCAGAGGGTAGACATTCAAGAGGAGAGCTCTCTTTTCCCTTCTCTCATTTCCTTTTTCTCATTTCCCCATCCCCCTCCCTATCATCGATCTCTCACTCTTTTCCCCAATTTTTTCGTGGACGCGTCACCTCTGCTTTCCTTCCAACTGTTTTCTGCTAAATAACTCAATAATTTATGACCCCAAATTCTTTTATGTAAAAGAATCCGAAGAATGTCTTTGCCGCATAGTTTCCTTGCGAAATCCTAGCTTTGCTTTCTTTGAAGTCATTTATCCATAGTTTACTTTATCTAAAATATTGAACAAGTTGACTTCTGTGACTTTATACTACCTGCATTTAACTTTTAGCTTGTTGTTCGTTTTTGTTATGCAAAGCATTGAGTAATTTGTCATGCCAAGAGTGCCAAGAGTCAGCATTTGCCACAAATTTTCAACTGTCATTGATAAAACGAATGTTTAGACTTTGTTTACATAATCAATCAGTCGATAGCCGGCAATGTTTTTGTTTTCATTACGGACAGACTAGGATTCATTTTGGAAAATTCAGTTTCAATCTTTTTTTGCAAGTTTTATGCAAGTCAGGCTTGAATTGTTTCATTTTAACTTTTTAAGTATGACAACTTTAAATTTATGGATTAATTTTAATTTTAAACAGCAAGATATTCAATCAATTCATTCAATCAATCATTTTTTTGAAGCCAATCAACCAGATCTTTTCGTCACTTTAAAGTAGGTTTAAGAAATTTAGGAAATTGCTATGCTTCTAACTGTGATTTACTCAAAACTGGTTCCGAAATGCTGCTATTTTTGTGCAAATGATTGAAGAAGCAATAAATCGGTTCCATTTCAAAGAAATCGAGCAAAAAATGAAAAAAGAGCGACTAGGCGATACGAGTTTATTTCGCAAACGCGAGAGAGGCGCATCACACCTTTCAGTCCACAAATATCGATCCCCCTCCATCCCAACAAACCACTCAAAGGCACATGTCTAACCAATTTCCCCTTTTAAGCATCTCGTTTTATCGATTCTTGCCAAGTTTTAAGTTGAAAATAGGGTGTTTTCTTCCTTTTTTTCTTTGAAGTCCAAAGTCCAACCAAAACAAGGCTTTTATCGGCATTTTCAATCTTTTTCCCAAACAATCATTTTTCCGTTAACAATGCAATTTCATTTTTGCTTTTCCTAAAGTTGCCAACTCTTATAATACAACTATTTATACTTTTGACCGTCTTCAATTTTAACTTAGTAATCGTGTTTTTGTTAGCTTTCCCAGGAGTTCAAAATTCTCGATTCCCAAAGAGTTAAATCTTATCCAAAACAACGAAAACCAGAAATTTTTTGAACTTTTCCAGTTTTTACTTTAAAATTGATATTTAATCTCTTGAATTTTTGAATAAATACTGAATGAATGAGTGAGAATTTTCTATTTTCAATTCCATCAGTGAAATCATTTTCTCCATTTTTTTTAAAAGCTTTGTCTATTTTCTCGAAATTTCAATTGTTTCCTTTTCCTCTCTCTCGTTGATCAAAAACGATCAATTGTTTTGATCAAAAGTGATTCCATTCGTCGACTGTGTCACGTGAATGAGTCACTTTTTGAAGTTTTGACGCAAAATGAGCAAAACGAATTGATTCAAAAGAGATTTAATTGCAGATTTTTATGAACTCAAACACTTTTTTCGTTTTAGAATGTCGGCTGGACCGTACAACTACAGCTATATTTTCAAATATATTATTATTGGGGACATGGGTGTCGGCAAATCCTGCCTACTCCATCAGTTCACCGAGAAGAAATGTGAGTGAAGGGGAATTTCGTGAATTGTAAGCATATCTAAAATCTTCATTTTTTTTAGTCATGGCCGACTGCCCGCACACAATTGGTGTCGAATTTGGAACACGGATAATCGAGGTGAGCGGACAGAAGATCAAGCTACAAATCTGGGACACAGCTGGACAAGAAAGGTGAGTACAACTTAAGATAAAGAATTCAATTCTAAGTCTAGACCAAGTCTTGTATTGTATACATTTCATTGATTTTGAAACAGGAATTTATCGACTCTCAATAGCTCCCGTAAAAATCTGTGGATCTAAACAAATCAAAGAATGAATCAAAGAGACTTTAGAGCTAAAGCTATCGAAGTGTTACAATAAAGATTTTTCATACTTTTTCTAGTCATATTAACCAAGTAATGCTTTAGGTTTCGAGCCGTCACTCGATCGTATTATCGAGGAGCTGCTGGTGCATTGATGGTTTATGATGTGACGAGACGATCCACATACAATCATCTCTCGAGTTGGCTAACCGATGCGCGAAATCTCACCAATCCGAACACTGTGCGTTTACAAATATCAAAAAGAAAGCACATTAAAAGTCTATGGCTCTTCCAAAAGCTTTTATTTCATAAGTGATTGATGATTTTCAGTTTTTATACTAAACAACACTGTAAGTAATTTCTGGGGTAGGAAAAATTGAAAAATATAAAATCTACATACTACGAGTTATCCATTGACATAATCTGTCTTGTTGAATGAATTGCGATTGTTCATCTGAATTGATATAATCTGTCTTGTTTAGGTGATCTTCCTCATTGGAAACAAATCTGATCTCGAGGCGCAAAGAGACGTTCCTTATGAAGAGGCCAAGGCTTTCGCTGATGAAAATGGACTCACTTTCTTGGAATGCTCAGCAAAAACGTAAGTTGATAACTGAATTCAAAGTTTATTCATCATTTGCTAGGTTCTAAAAAATATTTTGACATCCCAATCTTCTGTTTTAGCGGAGAGAATGTTGAAGACGCCTTCTTGGAAACGGCCCGGAAAATCTATCAGAATATTCAAGACGGAAGGTAAGCAAAAAGATACAGCTTTTGAAAATCCAAAAATTTCTTTAAAAATCAATTTTAGCTTGGATCTGAATGCAGCTGATACGGGTGTCCAGCCAAAACAAGTGGTCAGGCCAACAACGGGAGGATCGGCGGCTCCTGGAGAGAGGAAAGAGTGCAATTGCTAATCGACATTGATATCTATTGAAGTGAGTGAAGAAATTTGAAAATAACAAAGCAATATTTAATACTGAAATGATTACAAACGACTAAGCCAAGTAAGGTAAAAACTTGATGATCGATAAAACGGTACTTTGACTTTTGCCCGCTAGATCTTTGGTGCATCTAATACTTACATTTAACATTCAACAATGAACAATCGCAGAATTTGCTTACTTATATGCCAGCTTTTCCCCTTATAGGCAAATTGGTGGCATAATAGTCACAAGTACGACAAAATCGATAGGGTAAACTGACTGCATTCAATCACAAAATTGGATGATAGACTGAAGCTAGATTTAGAGATTATATCGTTTGAAAATACACAAAGGAACAGAGATAACTATTTCTTTATATATTGCCTTTTTTTCAGACTTTGATGTACTTCCCGTTTCGTGCTCGCCAACTCGTCCTACTCTCCCATTCTTCCTACTTTCCCATTCTTCCTATTTTCCTCCAATCGCCTTCCTCGATATGCCGGTTGATTGCATGGTCTTTCTATGATCTAAAATTTATAACTATCTTATTGAACAATATTTTTATACCCAAGATCTAGAAAGACCATCAATCCAAGCCCCGCTCTGTCACTTTCCTTGTTTTAACACACCTGCGACAATGCCATTTTTCGATATTTTGGTCTAGATCAAAACGATTTTAGCGCAGGAACAACACAAAAATTTGTACTTGGAGGCTTTCGAGGTTAATAAATACGAATCCGTCTTGGATTTTCAGTTATGAGCTCACTATGGTCACTACCAAGCCATTAACTAACAATGGATTCGAATTCCCCGACTCTGAAAACCCCCAGTATACAATTTCCAGCTTAATCTGCCCATAAATTAGGGCAAATTCAAGTGGGTTCCATTATCGTTAGTGTGTTCAAATTTCTGATAGACTCCAGCCAAGTACTGCTTTTTTTAAAAGTCAATTCTTATTTAAACAACCTTATTACAATATTACAATAACCCAAACATTTCCCCTTGGTTGTGTCTGCACAAATCGTATCATTTCTTCAAAAATCTTCGTCCAATGCATCAATAATAGAATTGCGAAAGAAAAAAAACCCGAGTGCTCCTTAAAGAATTTGCTTTTATTACTGAAACTGGTAGAATCCAACCGTGCTTTGTGCGGTTTTCAAGCACACGCATATCTTCTGGAAAACTAGCTTTTTTTGGTTTATTTCCTTTTCACAATAGAAACTTGAGTTTCGCTTAAAAATTAAAGGTTCTGATTTGCCAGAAAGTGTGTTTGTTTGACTCGAAAATACGCCTGGATTCTACCACCTTCCAATAGAAAACTCTCAAATATTGCTCCAAAACCGACTTAGAGTAATAAATCTTTCAAGTTTTACGTTAGAAATTTCGTTCTTCCATGTATTTATAGCTATTCAAACATGCCATTTATCCATTTTTTCTTTACACTTTTCATTTCCCAAAGCATGTCAATGCTTTGCACTTTGTGCTCTAGCAAAATAAAGCCATTTGGTGCACCTGCAATGCACCAGAAGAAGTGCATTTGCAAGAGCAAAAAGAGCATTCTTGGCTTGCTTCCAACATTGTCTCGAGCATTTTCAAAGTCTCGGCCTCTTGTGATACCACATTCTGTTCATTTTCTTTATCTCCTATTTCTTCAAAATTTTCAAAGCTTGTAATTTATTTTCCTTTGTCAAAAAAAGAACAAAATGACATCAATCAATCATAACTTTTATGTTTATGTGAATGTGTGAAGATTTGAAATAAATCTATTGAAATTAGTGATAAAGATTCAGCAAAATGAGCAAAATAAGGCGTCACTATGGCTGCAGGTTGTCAATTCGTTCAAGAATTGGGAATCACAATTCGAATGGTAAAGTTGAGAAGAGAAAAATTCGCATTTGAGTAGACAGTGAATGGGATTGGAAATGCTCAAATCCTTGGGACAATTTGTTTGCTTTTTACAAACGTTTCACTATTTCACACTTCAATAACTTTTCACTCATAGTCAGTGATGCTTACAACTAACCATTTTGCTTCAAAGTATTTTCTTAAAATTATTGCAATTAACAGATAAGAGTTTCCCTGTAGCCGGAAAGTCACTTTAAGGCAGTCTCTTTCGCGGACCAATTACCGTAACCCCCACCCAATAATTGCCGAGAAATCCAAATTTACGCTGAAAAACGATAAACCCTCATTTTCAATTCCATTCATTCCCTATTTCTATTCAAATGCAAACTTTTCTCTTCTCAACTTTGCCATTCGAATTGAGATCCCAGATTCTTGAACGAATCGATGACCTGCAAGATCGATCAAAATTGTTAAAGCTCAACAAAGAATCCAGAAGCGATTCTCTGAAAAAAGGACCGTTCCCAAAGAAAGTCCAAGATTTATACCTCAGTTATCCACCACATTCATCTATTTATTCATTTGATCAATTAAATGGGATTGCTTCAGTGAAAACAATGAGCCAATCGAGTCAAATCTTCAAAACAACCATGAACTTTATGGAAATTGATCGAAAGATTCAAACAACGGCTCCCTGGTCACTTTTCAATCAGATTCGATACTGCAAAAACTTAGAACTTGACTTGGCAAGAATTCTGGATAAAGCTGACGCTTTGGACTTACTTCTTTTCATTTCCTATGTCGTCAGAAATCTTCGAGGAGTCGGAAATTTCCGTTTCTTGTCAACCAAGGAAGCACTTGAGTGCTGCCAATTTTTGTCAATCATTGAAATTACGGACAATTGGGTGTCAACTATTGGGGAAACGAGTTACTGGAAAGCTCTTCCATCAATCACAAGGAAGGAAGAGAAAGAAGAGGATGAACTCGATGCAATGATTCCTCAATTCTTGAATTACTTCAATATTTCTACTCTGAAAATCTACTTCGCTTACCATCAGACATTGGACTTTGTTTGGGAAAAACTTGTGGAATCGAATGTTCAGGTGGTTTTGAATGAAACGAGGGAATGGGAGTACTTCAAGAGAATCGTTTCCAATGTCTCCAGTGAGTCACTGCCAAGCAATTTTTCAACTCCAGCTCTCGGAATTCATTTTGAATACTATTTCCAGCTTTGCTCAGCTAACGCACAAAGTCCCTTTGAAACGAATCCGTACTCGTTTTTGACAGGAATCCTTCTGAACTCAAATGAAATCATTGAAAAAGATGACGAAGCTCAACAACTTTATCAATTCTTTACTGAAACTCTTCATGAAAGTTACAGAAAAACTTATCTCACAGGAATGTACAATCAAGTGATTTTGAGTAAAACCTCAACTTTCAAGGAGCAAGCATTTTTCAGGAGAAAAATCTCTGAGAATCGCTATTCTATTTCGATGCTGGCCTATGATGAACGAGATGGACTGGGAAATGGATTGCATGGAGACAAACATTTGTGGTTCTACGTGAAGCACTTCGAGAAATAGAAAGAACTTTGCTTTATGTAGTTATTATAGAATACTATTGTTATTGTTGTCTTTACAAGTTACCCAGCAGTTGAGCCATTTTTTGAATAGTTTATGATCTTAATTTTAAAGTTTTGTTAAAGCCTAGCTTAATTTTCCTAATTTTCTTAATGATTGGATCAAATTTCTATGTCTAAGCTTTTTTAAACGCAAAATGATAGTCGAAGCTTTAAAAATAGAAAATATCAAAGTCCTAAATCGACTTAATCTTACAGAGAAAAGTTGAAAGCTACTATTTTGGTCAAATGTTTAACGCAAAGTGATAAAAAGCTTCTGTTTCAATTCAACATCTGCTAGTCTTCACCTTGAATGTCTTTCTACACCAATAAGATGGGCAACTAAACCGTAGAACCATAAAACCGTTATTCTCTGTCTCATTCACCGTACTCAAATAGATAAAGTGCGAGTCACAAAGCCTTTCCCCTAACCAAAACTCAACTTGTACTTTTCAAAATGCCAATTCCATTTCTATTTTCAAAATTACCTTATGAACTTAAATACTCGACTCTCCAAAATGTTTACTGTTTCAATATTCAATGGACTTTGTTGCGAGTCAACAAAGAGCTACGAAATCTTTTACTCCAAAAGGCTTCACTGGTGCAACGAATACAAGAAATCACTCTTGACAATTCGGAGATTACTTTTGTCCCTCGTTATCAATCGAAAATTTTAACAATCAAGTTTGACCCACCCAATTGCAATGAATATTTAATTAATGAAAAGGCTCAAAAGTTATTTTTCAAAACAATCAAATTCTCAAAAAATTTGACGATAAATTGTTGGAGTGACAAAAAGCTGAAATCTTTTAGTCTTCCTGCGATTCGCACCGTTTCTAATTTTGAGCTTATCCTTTGGAATGACAGTGCGGTTTGGGAAAATTCGATTTTCAATCTCAAACCTGAAGTTATGAATACCTTGACAATCCAAAATCGAGGCCACACTTTGCAAAAAAAGTCAAATATTGGAAATTCTATTACCAATTGATCTGAAGAATTGCATGGCTGTTTCAATAAGTCTTTTACCCATTCAATTTATCTGGGAAATATTGGTCTTTACAAAAATTCAAACCATTTCCCAGCACACAAAGAATTGGGATGAATTTTTGAATAGTGTGCATTTATTTTTGATTAAAGGCATTCCAACAATGGCCCAACAATCAAATGCTATTATTTTTCATAAAAAGTTGATTCGTGGCCGTGCAGCGACACAAGAATTGCAGGTAAGGTCTTGTTTTTCTTTCTAAAAATTACGGTTAGGAAAAGCTAATCCGTTTGACTCAAAGTCAAAGGATGGTAACTTTTTCACAACAGTTTTTTCAGAGAAACCCTAATTAAGCCAAGAATTACAAGGAATTTCGAAAAGCTGACCACATAAAAGTTACCGTAATTCAATCAACTTTTTCAAGAAATGATCTATTAGCTGTATTTTGCTCTTAAAGCTGGAGTATTTTCTCAAACACACCTTAGGAAACACTTTAGCCAAAAAAACAATCAAATTACAGGGCTCCAGAGAAGTCATTGAAATCATTCGTCGCACAGGAATCGCGCAAATGCAAGAAGATCTATTATCAAACAAAATTTTGCACGAATTCAATGATTTCTGGGAATTTTCCGAGCAAAATCATCGCATCCCGAAACCACTCAAAAACGCAAAACCATCATTTTTCACTTCTTCAACTTGTCATTTTGCTTTTATGACTGGGCTTTATTCAACAAGTGGCCATTTCCCACATTTGCATTTTTGGTTTCTCGTTAAATCGGATAAAAATAAACTCCTTTGAACTCAATTTTTATGATTTTTTGCCAAGTTTATGTAATAAATTTTTCTTGGAACTTCTTATTAAGATAATTGCTAAAATGTTAAGAGATTGCATTTGAGAACAATGAAAACTAGAGCTGATTCTTCTTAAGCAACGTGTTTTCTATACTGTGTCAACTTTAGGGAACTACCGTAATCCTGTCTCGGTTTATCTCCAATCCATCTATTTTTGAATTGTTTTTGTAAGGCTTACAAGAGAATTAGGAAAGAGCTACAAAAGTGACAACGATGGTATTTTTCGAAAGTTGACACGTTTTAGCAGACGCTTTACTTTAATAAAAACATATGAAAGAAATTAGAAGATATCGTTATAAAGAGCTTTTATTTAATAATAAAATCTAGCAAAAGTGGCTCAGTGATTAGAGAAATATGGAAAGTGATTATCTATCCGAAAAAATCTTTTCTAGACAACATAGACATGGAAACAAAGAAATTCTAATGGAAAAGACTGTGAATTTAAAAGTAACAAGAAATCAGAAAGGAAATTTCTGCACAAAATATGATAGGAAAAAAAGAATATTCCTTCGATTGAGATCTTTCAAGAAATCAAACTAAGTATTTAGCGGTAAATGTGAAGCCCAAAGTTCGATGAATTTCAACAAATAGCACAATAAAAATGGCACCTCGTAGTCCTCGTTTTGTTTGTCTGGATAGAAAAATGCAAGAATACAAAATAAATCCTCTTCATCGGAAATTCTTTTCACAAAAGATTCAACATCAAGAATGTTGAACGTATCCATGACTGGCTCAGCTTTCTTCAATGTTTTTACAAAATTTCTTTCTCCTCTGTGTCTCTCACACTTTTCGATTTTTGACTCCAATTCTCAAAATTTTTTAACGCCAACGAAACTTGACAGCTATCTCTATTAATAGGTTTCATATGTTCTTTTAATATTTTCAAAACATCATCCCAAGCTCCTCTTGCATTCTCTCGTTCTTCTTCTATCAAATGCATATAAACTGTGCGCGGTCTTTTCAGAACTCCATCCTTCATAAAAGATCTAGCAATTTCTATAAAGTCAAGCATAACTAACAACAAATAATCACAAAATCTCAGCATTTATGCACAAAGAGACTCTACAAAGCCCATCGCAATTTCCATTTTCTTGAGTACGACTGAAACGACTGAAACATGTGATAATCTCACATGAGCTTTTGTTTCTTAAAGGCAATGATTTCTCTTTACCATAAAATGCAAGAGAATCGAAACAAGATTTTGCTCTAAACTCGAAAATGAATCGTGGGAGAATATTTCCAAAAACGATATCAAATCATAAGCATTCCCAGCAAGTTCAAGTGCGGTTAAGGTACGTACTTTTGACAGAAACTCTCCAAAATTTTTGCTGACATTTCGAAAGTTCACTTGATGCTAGACTGGGCTTCCGTTTGAAAAATCCAGTCCTCTTCTGCTACAATAACCTTTTTGCAGCGCTCGATTTTATTAAAAAACTTGAGAAAATTTCGCGCAATGTGTTTCTCATAGTACACGAGAATTCGTTGCTTGAATAATTTTGCTTTATCAATCCTGATTACAGTGAGCAGATCATTTTCGTTTTGAAAGAAAAATATTTTTTAACTTTGAAAAATTTAATGCTCAAACTTACAATGATTCAGTTTAAACCAGTGCAAATAAGCTGGTTAAGCTTGGGTAGTTCTTTGTGTTAAAATCACTCATAAATTAAAAGCTAATCGAATCCAAAACTTTTTGAAACCTACAACAGACAATATGAAAGTGTAGCTGAATATGTTCGATACCAGAAATCTTGTTAGTTTTCAAGGTAAATTCTACAGAAAATTGTAAAGTATGTGAAGTAGAAGAAAGGTGTCGTCTTTCCTTTGGAGTCCGTTGGCTCATCGTAATGGCGCAATTGCTGAAAATCTCCGCTTTTTTAATTGAAAAGTTTTAGCTGTCAAGGATTTTCAAAAAGAAAAGGATAGTGTGAAAACTACTTGAAAGAAAGAGACTTTTCAACGCTGAAATCTTAACGAAAAGCCCTAGCCCTTACTTGTTGAAAAACGCGAAAATCTCGATCGAGGTATCCTGAAACCATTGTCATTCCACCATTTTCTGGGCTATCAATGCGTAAAAATTCCGATTCCGGTTTTAAAGTCATCGTTTTCCACAAATTGTCCTGAGTCGGTTGCCTAAAGTTTCTAAATTAACACCCTAGCTCGATTAGGATCCAAATTAATTTGAGTCAAAACCGACCCAAATTTAGCAAAGTTCGTCCACCAAGTGCCAAGAGTGTCGGCTAGTTGAAGATCGAATTTGGTTGTCTAAAGAAAACCACTGTACTACAGTTGATTCCTTGTCACCTTTCCCTTATCGTAAATGATGTCAAATCGTGAATCGGCCCAGCCAAACCAAAGATAGAAGACCTCTGCACTATGAGGCACCGCTAAAATCAAAAACCGTCAGTAAACTGTACACAAAGCTCACGTCGGTATCCATTCAGCCTTTTGACGATCTCCGCCTCTCCCGGGGAATCAAAAGCCTCCGAGACATAGGCCTGCTCGTACAGATAAACTTTGGAGTTCCCAGCGACCAACTGCTTGTGCACCTCTTTTGCTATGTATTGACCGCCTGAGTTTGCTGATAAAATCTGGAAAATGCTCTTTTTGCAAAATTCAGAAGGTGAAGGCTTTTTGGTTTCCTAACTTTTCTTTTCCATTCGAACCTTTGTTCCAATCATCCACCAGGCCGCCGAATCGTTAACATTGGTTCCCCGTGGAACATATCCCTAAGTTCAGCTTTAAAAAGGCAAATGAAACTTTTACAAACATTCTCAATCACTTTCCAGACTGCTTCTCTGTCGCCCCCATAAAGTGGAGGAGTGTTGATGCTTTCAAAAAACTGTTTCACCAATGACTCGTTGATGTCATCGAACGAATAGTTTCCAGAAGGCAAAAGGAAAGAAACTAAAGAAATTCTAGATTTTGCTTTTAATTGAGGGCAGTAAGTGGCAATTCGTCTCGCATATTCCCGATAATCAGCGCCACGTCTTCACTTTTCGAGTCCTTCGACAAGAACGCGCCATCCCAAGTCATCGGCCAAGCACCAGTTAACTGAATTGGATTTTAACAAATGCTAAAGGTTCAATTCAAACTTGATCCACGGAAAGCCATTCCGATGGGGAGAGAGCGTTCATGCACGATTTCAGTTGCGGCAAGTTCTCGGTGAGTGAGCTGTTGCAAAGCTAGAAATTAAGCCCAAAGGGTATTATTAAACAAATTTTTTACAAAAAAAAAGGCCAAATTTGTAATGTGCAATGCTCTTGTTGTAATGTGCAATGCAATGCACCTTTTCCGCAACGTTTTCGCTGGCGGTACTGTATGCAGCTTGACTGTCGGTGTGCAGGTAGAGGGCTCCGGATTCCATGATCGCCCGGTGAAAGAGTCCTTGAATAATCATTTCTTTGTCAAGAACAGAAAATTCTTGTTTGGATAGGGCAAATCTTTTTGTTGTCAAGCTGAGAAGCTATAGAAATCTGGTAGGTAAGTACATAATTTTTTTTTTCCTCAAAAGCCAATAGCTACTTAGTTATTTCACATCATCAAAGTAACAAAATTAGACATTAGACACTCAAAAATACTCAAAAAAGTACCCTTGCTCAGCGGTGAGTATAAGTGAGCGTTCACGGACGATCCACCGGAAGATTGACCGAAGATTGTCACCAAATTCGCGTCTCCTCCAAAAAAGGCAATGTTTCGTTGGACCCATTTCAAGGTTTCCAACTGTACGAATGTAATAAATGAATTGAAATGAAAACCCAAGTCACACCTGGTCTAAAAGACCACGATTTGGAGGAAAATCCGCAGTGTTTGTGGTGAAGAAGCCGGGCACACCCAAGCGATATTGGATGACGACAACGACTACACCACGAGACACGAGGTTTCTTGTGGCTCCCTGGAAAACTTTGGCCTTACAAATCTTTATAAAACAGTTTTATTAATAGACTTTCAAGCTTTCAAGCTAATTTAATATTTGATGCCTGACCAAGTAAGTCCACTGATTGCCACAACCAGCTTGAAGGCCACCACCGTGAATCCACACCATAACCGGGTATCTATCTGTTGTTGTTGCCTGAAAAGGTGCTTCTTCTGATATTTCAATATTCAATAGGCTTTCAGGTCACAGATTGGATCTGACCTGACTGAGTTCTGGAAAAAGTTCATTTTTTGGAGACTCACATTTGGAGTGAAGACATTCAAATACAGACAATCCTCGCTCTGTATCCGACACCAAAAAGGATCGAGTGGTTGTGTGCAGGCTGGTCTACAACTTTATTGTCAGTGATCGTTTTGTGAGCCTCTACTACTTGTATTGAGTAGCATCTACGTGTCCATTCGGATAGCTAATTAGCGGTTGTGGTTTCTGGGAAAGAAGAAATTTTTGATAAAAAACCCTAAACAGAACCTGAAAGCGCAGATTGCCAAGTGGTGGCTCAGCAAATGGGATTCCCAGAAAAATGTCGGCTTTCCCGTAGATCAACTTATCGTTTCCCAAGTCAACTCGGAATCCCTGCAATTAGAAACTTTAGTTTTATTAGTTTCATCTAGATATCGTGGTTCCTAAAACTTTCGGAAACTAAAAAAAACTTCTCGTTGGGGAAAATTTCAAGTTCAATTTTAGTTTAAAAAACAGTTTCATGGATGTTTTTGTCACTCAGAAACTTGGATACCTAATAATTTTTTCAAACTTATACATAGCATAAAGCTTTTTGAATTTTCAAGACACAAAACATTCTCACAGTCACGGTGCCCATCGGCGTTTTTATCGTTACATTTTGTGTGTAGTTGCACACAAAAAAGCAAGTGAATACAATAAAAAGTTGATCTTTCATCTGAAAAGATAACTTTGCAAGGTTTTAGACAGTTTTTAAACTTTGTAAAAAAAAAATTGTTTTTTTAAGCAAACTTTTTGAAAGATTTTTGTTTTGGGAAACATAGTTGAAAAGCCAAAAAATTTGAGAATTGGAATGACTGAATTTTCGTCTTTTGTTCACTGAGAATGGCGTTTAAAGCAGATTAATTTCTTATCTTTCAAACAAATCATTTGATGATTTGTTCTTGCTTTTTAGTGTTAATCTATCGAATAGATCTTTCAAAAAAGCTTCAACTTCTGTGTACTTCTTATTCTCAAAGGTTAGGCAAAAAAAAACAAAAAAAACAACAAAGCTCTCAAATTTCAGGCCAAATCGAGATGCTTTTTTTCAGCCAAGTTGTTTGCCTTGCTTTGAGTTGTTTTGAGCTGACGTGCCCATAGCTGACCCTGAATCAGACTGACATTTTAGCCTTTTTTTGAATCGCTCGCTTTGCTACTTGTTCTCATAATGAAATACTATTGAGTAGAGGCTGCAAAAAGTCATTGTTCTGTTGAAATCACTTTTTTAGCTTATTTAATAAAAAATGTCACTCAAAAAAAACCGGTGATATATCTGTCAGTTTTTATCATAGTTTTCTTGTGGGCTAATAATTTACTTTGAGATGCCGAGTTTTTGATTATTCATTCTTTTTGGTGTCTTATTTTGTTCGAGTGGGCATTTCCGATCACCAAGAGAAGTTGGGTTTTGCCAAGTTGCGTCTAATCTACAAGAACTCTTCACAAAGCATTTTCTTTGCTCATTTTCTCTCTCTCTTGCTTTGTTTTTCGTGGAAGAACTTTTTCTCTTTTTCTCGATTGGGTCTTTTGCTATGAGCTCTACTTCAATGGGAAATGCGTTGATGATCCGGAAGTGGTGGGTCGAGTCTTTGCGATGTATCAATCATCTGCTATTTAATATAAGATTTTCGACAAAGAGTCTCTTTGAAAATTTTACCAACATTTAGAGGTTTAAAGAAAACCCTCGAAATGCAGCGATATTTCAATGTTGTCTTTCTATTACAGGTGGGTGGGATCAACATTTATCTATTAATGTACTAGATTAAGAGTGACACTTGTTTGTCACAGAAAAATTAGTTTTGTTCTAAAACTGAAATTGTTCTAAAACTAATAGCAGATTCTATTTTGGCATACATTTTTCAAGAATCGGTATCAATTCTTTGCTTTGTTAATTCCTCGCCAGCCGTCTTTTATTGTTTTTTTTGGAAACTTTTTCATTTTATACTTTGCAAAAATTGTCGAAATGTTTTTCTCACACACCTATATCAGCTAGCTGTTTTCCTTTGCGGAATCGGTAAAATAAATGTGAAAATTTCGAAATGACATCTTTTGGCAGGTGACAAACTTAAGTGTTCAAAAGGAATTGTAAAAGTATTAGTTTTTGGTTTTTTTTTTAGATTTACGGTAAACACAACAACAAGGGTACTTTGTTAACTTTCAGAGAAACAGAGAACAGAAATTCCTCGAAACGAACTCCTTTGTGTAGTCAAAAATAACAGACATTTTCCCATGGCTACAAACCACGTTAACTATCTTCGAACTCATTTTTGCTCTTTTTCCAAAAATTTATTTTCTGATGAGCTCTCCAAATGCAACTTTACCCCAGCAGTTTGTTTCTTTTTCCGATAATTTTCTCGAGATTCTTATCATGGGACTGGTAAGTTGGGTTTATATTTAGATTACTACGTTAGACTAGATAGACGATAGACGTATAGCCTACGATAAATGGTGTAAAATTTAAAATCAACAATTACTAAACTAATCGTGAGAGGAACATTCAGAATTATGACCCAAAAATGGGAACCACAATTCTGAGATGTGTTTTATATTAGCCAAAACCTTTAAAGCTTCATTGCGGCTGCTTGAATGAAACTTAAACTTGAATAAAACGAATTCCTTTAAAGGTCTCCACCCTTGGCACTATTTTCGGTCTCGTCGCAATGATCGTCGTCTATCGGAATCTGTTCTTAACTGGTAATTATTTATACTTTAAGCTTGAAATTTCTTTAGGCATTGTTCGGCATTACATCCTCATCGATGTGTTCAGTCTCTTTTCGATGAGTTTCGTGTATCTGATTTGGGGGGTGCCAAGTGGAATTTGGTGGGCGGAGCTCATTTTGAGGCCAGGCCGATTCCAGTTCGAACCAATTTTTGGAAAAAGAACAGAAAACTGAGCTAATGCAAAAGCCATTTAAACTGCAATTTTTGAACCAAGCAGCAAAATCTAGTCTCTAAACTAACGGTGCCTGGTAAACCACTAAATTGGAAGCATCCAGGCACTTCAACGAATCGTTTCCTGTTATCGAGAACCTCTTGGGAAGTGTCGCCTATGCTGTGACGGCAAGCGCCTACAATGCGAGGGTAAAAAGAGTCACAAAAAGCTAGAAAATTTTAGTTTGCTAGGCCATCACTACCAACTTGCAGGTACTCCTCGGTGTCAATCGTTTTTTCGCTCTCGCTTTTGAGGGACGCTTCTTTTTCCCTTTCGAGCGACTCAACCATTTGCAATACTTTGTGTTAATTGTTTATTCTCTACTCAATTTTATTTCATCGTTTAGACGTGAGTGGCCTTCTTTTACTTTCAAAGTCAAATTTTGGCCAATTGTGGCTTCATTTTTCTGTCGAGCATACTCCATTTTCGAGTCGATTCGCGATGTGATTTCCCGGTCATGTTCTACACTGTGGTACGGGTTAACTATAAGAAATGTTTCCAAAAAGTAAAAGCAAGTCACCAATGCAGTATAAGCTGGCCAAATTTGAATATCCTTATTGGAATATGGTCTATTTCAAAGTGGTATCGTGCCTGAGGCTTTCTCTAGATTTCCAGGAGCTTAATGTTGATCGAGGTCAACCTAGACCAAGTTCACCTAGTTCCACCGACTTGCAACTTGGTAAATTTTATCAAAATCGGTGAACCCGATAAACTTTCCATTTTCCCACGAACTTGTTCTTGCCAAAAATTCTTTCTAGGAAACTTTGATTCCCAGAAAAACATACTGGGAAAGTACCAAATGACAATTTCCAGTACTAGCTTTGTATCTACGACTACATCTGACTTAGAGGTTGAGCCAAAACCAGTTTTAAAGCCCTTTACCATAAATGAAACGTTGTTAATTAACTTTACAAGTTGGGAATATTACAAGATTACTAGTTACAAGGAAAGATTTCTTTAGGGAGCCTCTGCCATCTTTTACCAACCAGTCACCGTTGTGCTCGATCTTCTTGTTTTTTTTCTGATGCGACGTCGCTGGAGAGCCTTTATCAAAGACCAACGACAGAACAACCACAAAAATCAGCGACAATTGCAAAGGGAATACCGATTAGCGCTACAGGTAAAAAGACCGTTTCTTGGGTGTTGGCTGTAAAAGACAAGGCCAGTTACAGTCCTACTATCACTCTTGTTCTTTCCGGAAAGATGCCAAATCATCAAAAAACGACATGAAAAAGTTAACCTGAGCTGCCATTTCTAACAGCTACTAGACTGTGCCTGCGTTTGCCTTTTGGGATCTAAGACAATCTAAGACAAGATCTAAGACATCTAAGGCTATGTGCAGGGCTTTAGTGCAATAGTTTTACAAAAATGTCAAATAACTTGAGGGTTTCATTTTTGTAACGAATCAGCAATCTTTCGACAATTGTTTCTGTAGATGGCCACGAATGCCCTCACAATGATCGGTTCTCTGGGGTTCAAGTTCTCGAACAGACTCCTGCCCTCATCGTTTGCAAAATTTCTCGGCGGCACCACTGTCATGCTCGTATGCAATTGGCTCTCAAGGTGAGCATTAACATTTTTAATTTTCAACGAGCTACCAGTTTTTCAGTTTATCCTATGCTATTATGCTACGGGATTCCCGGACGAAAAACGAGAAAACGGCAAAAATCTCAACAATAATGACTTCGAGAATCGTTTCGAAACCTTGAGAATTAAACATTTAGCGAATTGAAATGTGTTTGGTGCCAAAAATCATGTGGGGAAAAGAATTTTTAAGTTTCTCACAAACAAAAAACAAAAAGTTTAGGGTTTAAGTTCGCAAGTTCTTTTAAACTATTAGATACTAGAGCTCACAGAAACAGCTTTCATAGGCGAAATTCTTTGATGATTGAAAGAAAGTTTTTCGATAGGACTTTTTGGGCTCTTTTCCGGCGAATCAATCGCTGCAAAACTTTAAAGATTCTTTGTGAAAGCGAAATTTTCAAGGAAAATATGCAAAAATGTATCGATCTAAAAGAATTTCTCCCAAAACTCGAATTCGTCTCCAATTTAGAGCTCAAAACCAAGACTTTTTTGTTGACTAAAAGTATTTTTGAGAATTTCAAAATTAATGTCGTTGATCGTAGTGATTTCAACATTTATCAACAACAATCTCCCAATTTGGACACCTATTTTGAGACGGTGATGGATCGACCGGTTTTCAACAATTGTCGAGCAATTGTCGCGTATTCCGACCACTTTCGCTACAAGGCTTTATCGAAAACGAAAGCCATCTCGATGTCGAATACAAATTTGAATTGATGCGAATTAAAAAAAGCTCTGGAAAAGATATTCAATCAGGGGTTTCCGAGTCGGCATGAATGACCATTTTTGATCATTTCTAGCACATTGAACTCGAGAAACGAAAATTTGGAACCACTGTTTTTCAATTCCAAGAAAGGACAAATCTTTTCCAAATTCATCGAAGAAAATTTGATAAAAAATAGAATTGAAAGAATCGACGAGAAATCGATTGAGGCAAAAGCATTGATTGAATTTGTCAAAAACGACGAGGAGATGTTGCATTCCGGAAAGTTTTGGTCGTTTATTGCCCCCGATTGCCCGATGTTCGGATTTAATCGAACCGCTTTCTTTAGACAAAAGATATCCGAAGAAAAAGTGGGCATTTTTGCCCTCTCTTTTCAAGATAACTCCTCGTCAGAGCAGTCTAAGAGTTTCTATATCCATTTGATCGCCAAATACTTCCGATTGATTGAAACCACTCAACAACGCTCAATCTCTCATTTAACGAATTACCATATTGAATTTTCAAGTTTCTTTTCTCGTTTTCTGATTCCCCACTTTTTATGGAGAATATTTGGATAAAAGATGTCATTTGTTTAAATGAGAAAAGCTAATGAAAAGCAAAAGTCTTCAAATAGATTCAATTCAGACTCTTCAAGAAAAGTCTGAATCTATCTCGTTGTACTCGCAGCTTTATAAGGGACAAAAGAATTGGATTTTAAAAATTTATTGCCTCCACCATTTAATCTCAATCTCAAAAGCACATCGAAACCGCTCACAATTTCCTCTATGCATTTCCGGTGAACGCCAGTTGCGAGGGAGCGCGCGTAGATTCGGGAATATTTGCGCTCATTCCTTGGAAGAATTCCTCATTCAATGAGTTGCCATTTTGACTTGAAGTCCGCCAAAAATAAGAGCCACACCAAGACTCCTTCATTTATTCATAATAGGTACAATAGGTATATGCAAATCCTTCCGCATAAAAAGAATTTCCCCAAAATTCAGGGGTTTTTGTTGGAAGTTCGACGATTTCTAAAAATTCCAGATTTCAACTTGCAATATTTATTCCTACTAAAGACAGGCAAGTTGAAAGATGTTGTAGATAGGATTAAGTGCAGCATCGTTTGCCCACGCGAGGTTGCAAGCGAGAACAAAGATCTTATTGAATAGGATTGAATAAAGGTCGATTCTTCAACGAGTATGTTTGATTTCACTGTCATTTTGTTGTTTGTTAAAGATGAATAAAGGAAATTCAATGCTGAAAAAATTCTCGTGAATTATCTTGAAAACCTGAAAAGTTCAGTTGATTGCTGATACATGACTTTTCCAGAAATTATTTCCATTGACTTCCGGCTTTTCATCTCGTTCTCGTAAACAACGGTAAAAAAACCAGCACTTCTTGCCGATATAAAAGAGAAAATGGGCGAGTGAATCGCCACTCCGCAGTTCCACAACGATGGCCAACGTGGAGATGCTCGGCTTATTGATATCAGGTTGGTGAAATCTTTTGGAAAAGGCGAAAACATATTATTTAGCTTTCCTTGTCTTCCAAGCTCAAGCTCAAAGTTGTCCGGTTAGCTGGAAAGCTTCTTCAAGAACCAAATCGTTTAGGGTCTACCAAAGTACAATTCGTGTGCTGACATCAAGGGTTTCAAAAATGTCGGCGGATCATGCTATGCGGTAGAGAAACTTTCATTCTCAAGAACCAAAAATAAGAAAATGTAGGTATAGAAAAGAGAGATAGTTCCCTTCATCGATTTATTGGTCTTGGTTAAAAGTTGACCAGTTGCAAAAAGGGATGATCGACAGATAAACAAAGATGGTAACTGACTGAAGCTGAAGCTAAGAAATCCATTGTCTTAGTTAAGGCAAACAAGCAACAACGTTAGCAGCTCAAGCCCTTTTGACGCAATTGCACCATCATTTTACAAAAATCAATTTTAATCCCTCTGGCTGCATATCTCAGCTCTTTCTTTCTTCAGACGGTTTTTGTCGGCGGCACTCTCGATGCGCATCGAGCCGCCTGCAAGAAATTGCATCCTGACGCTGATTTGGCCACCATTCGTTGCGATGCCGAGAATCAAGGAATCTGGGGTGGGTCTTGTTAGATTAATGAAACGCTAGTCCCTCATTCAGATCTCGCTCAAGCGCCACTCAAAGACAAATGCACCAAATTCAGCGACAATATTTACGGAAATGTATGCTGATTTACTCGTTTGTGTTATGCATTCAATTCCAGCAACTCGTGATCGGATTCTCGAAGGACAAGTGGCTGAGTGGAGCGAATTTCTCCTACAGGTGGAAAATAGGCTGAAGATGATGAGGCACTAATGCTTTTCCAGAAATTGGAACTCGGGCGAGCCGAACGGAAATGATCAAGATCATAACACTCCCGAAGCTGTGACCACGGTAAGATCTCAATGTCAGGTTTACAAGAAAGAATGTGATGGTTCTAGCTGTTCATCGCGAATCAGGGCCCAACTCTCCCGGCCGGCAAATGGAATGACGCTGGAATTGCCACACCACAATGTGCCGCCGTTTGTGAAGTGATTGTGGTGGGTGTTTTGAATAAAAAAAACGCCAAGATTTCATCGTTTTTGTTCATCTAAGCTGACTTTTGTCTAAATTCATTCTTTGAATTTGATCTTGATGATGGTTCTTTTAGAAATCGAGTGGTCAAAGTTGCAACGCCCAGCCGTGCAGCCAATTGGGCACTCCATGTGGAACGCATAATGTGAGTGATCTATTAAGCCATCATCATAAAATCGATCTAGGATCCAATTCTCTGGGATTCATGCGCTGATGTCGCCGGCTTCACCGACATTGGCGGATCTTGCTATGCAGTTTGTCATTCTGGGCCTCGTATGAAATCTAGAATTGCTGCCTCCTAGCCTCTGGTGTCAATCAATTTGTCTATCTCTTCATAACAGATAGATTAATATTTGAAGATTGCAAAAAGGCTAAGTAATTCTAGCAGCTTTCTGCAGCTTTCGATAAATTGTACTCTTTAAATTCTCTTAAATTCAGCCAATCTTTATCGGCACCACAATGGATGCCGCGAGAGCCGCCTGCAAGAAATTGCATCCGGCTGCCGATTTGGCGACGATTCGTTGCGATGCCGAGAATGAGGGCGTTTTGAGTGAGTTCTTTTTGGGAGATCAGCAATCAGTGAATCAGAATCGGCGACCACCGCCTTCAAGGACAAATGCACGAAATTCTCTTCGAACATTTGGAATAACGTGAGAGTTTTGCGGTGGAGCTAGAGGAAAGCCTATTTCAGCAACTCTTGATCGGATTGCGGATGAACAAATGGCTAAACGGCGCTACTCTTCCCACGTACAGGTTTGGATAGATCACGGCATCGAATCTGAATCTGACGGATGATCCAGATGTATTAATTGAGAAAAGTTTCCAAAAGAAGAATTCGAGTTATGAAGATTTGTTAGATCTAATGATGTATTCAAATTGTGTGTGTTTAGAAATTGGAATGCTGGAGAGCCAAACGGTGGAGATCGAGAGCCAGCAGGAACGGCAAGTCTCCTTCTACTTAAAGAATCCTTTTGTTGAAGACAGACTCAACACTCCAACCATTAGATCAAAAATACTCTCAAACAATAAATTTGTAGATGCTCATCGTTTCCGAGGGAGCCAATTCGCCGCTCGGTAAATGGAACGATCAGGCCGATTCGACAACGTGCGCCGCTATGTGTGAAGTGATCGTGGTAATATCCATGCGTAATATTGTTGAGCTCATTTCATCTTCTAGCGAAGCACCGGTCAATCGTGCGGTATCCAACAATGCCCTCAACCGCTCATTCCACCACCGTGTGTTCCACACAATGTAAGCTTTTAGTAGTTAAAAGGCCAGAAAAGAAAAATTGACAAATTATTGAACCGACTGAATGAAGTCATACATAGCGATTCTATCCATTTAATTTCAAAATCCTATTGCCGTGTGAGCCAACTTTTTGCCAAACAAAGGGTTTTCAATTCTCCACATTTAGGATCCAATCGTAGCCGACACGTGCTCGAAAGTGCCCGGATTCACCGATGTGGGCGGATCGTGCTACAAGGTTTGTTTGAAATCGCTCTCTTTTTTTCTTTCTGAATTGTTTGCACTAAATTATTAACAGAAAATCGAAAAAAGAAATAGAAATCCAATTGGTTAAAGTAAAATCATCCATATTGAATACACTCTTCTAATGTGTTCAGGTGATCGAGGTGACGGGCGATCGTGATGATGCGCGAACGGCTTGCCGAAAAGTGCATGCCAACGCTGATTTGGCTACGATTCGTTGTGCTGCTGAGAACAAAGCAATCTTTGGTAGGATTTTCTCAAAAATTGACAGCTAACAATGAAGACAACAAATTCCAGGTATGATCAGTGCGAATACGAAAAAGAAGTGCGCCAAGGTCCGAGGCTCTAATCCGTACAACGGGGCAAGTCAACAGAAACTAACTGCTCATCCTTTTATAAATATACAGGATGATCAAAAAGTTCCGGCATACTTTACAAAAGTAGCTCTATTTCTCAGCTAAAACCTAGATCGAAATTGGACTTACTATATAGTATTTTGAAGCTTAAATCCTGGGGAGCGGTTCTACACCTAAACCATACTGATCGAAGTCACCTAGCTCTCCAAAGAAGCATTGTAGTGAGCTGGAGGCAAACTGTCATTGCGCTAACCTATTTGAACCTGTTTCCAATTGAAAAATCATTCAAAAACCCTTTTTAAATTTACACTTTTGTTTTAAATAACAGTTCAATTGTTATTTTAAAAGAATCAAAATCTCTCATCAAAATAAAAACGTAAAATAGTCTTCAAAAACTTGTTATTCGAAAACATTAGAAACTGTGTTTGTCTCATGGGTGGTTTGCCTCAAATGCAGTGCATGTCTGGAAATTTCTGATCGGAGTCATATACTTATAGAAATGTTCATCAGAATTTCAGCTTCAAAATACTATAACATACGGTAAATTTTATTTTAGCTTTCATTTAGAAAATGAATTTGAGTGTGCGGGAACTTTTTGAGTACAAGTGTGCGGGAACTTTTTGATCACCTTGTAATATCAAGTTCATCCTTTTTGGTGCTCAAGAAAAATTCTAGCATTTGTGGATCGGCCTCAACGATGAGAATATTGGCGACGGAGTCGGCTGGGTGAATGGAGCAAGCACTCCATATCGGTGAATTTGACGTTGTTGACAAACTTTGAAACGAAAACTTATAGAAATTGGCAGAGTGGTGAGCCGAACACTCAGTCGGAGGTCTACACGGCGGTGAGCTTTTTGAGGATAGGCGGCTTTTCAAACACTGGCAATGAGGTCCTCGTCGAGTCAAAGAGTATTTCAGATGTTCGTGGCCAGCGTCAGCAACAGTCTTGAGCAGAAATGGAATGACGTCTCCGTCAACGCTATCATGTGCGCCGCCGTTTGCGAAGTTCAAGTGGTCGGTGTTTTCTCGTTTTTTACTGATTTGGCTTTTGCAAAATCTTTGGAGATTATCACCAAAAATCCTCAGCTAATCTCTCATCATCTTTTCACTCCTCCAACTAAACGCTGATATCTCATTTTCAGGCTACCAGTGGAAACGGTTGTGGCTACGCTCCTTGCAAGTAGAGCTGTTTTTGCCGAAAGTGGAACCAAAGATTCCTGGATAAAAATCTATTCTCATGAAAACACAACGCTTTTTGTGAGCATATGAATTTGCTCTTCCTACTACATTGATCACTGGCAAGTTGAGGTGGAACTGGAACGGGGAAATGCAAAAAGGCTCTTTCCACCGGTATCCGTGCATGTTTTTGAAAAATCGACAAATTTTCTGATGAAAAAACACACACACAAACTGTCAACAACTGAATATAATGGCTTGGTCAATAGAATTGTGAAAAAAGATAAAAAACAAGTTATAGCTGGTTCATCTACATAGCCTGATAACCTAGATGTGTATCAGATATCTGATTATCTGGTTATTGCGATTCTCGTTGTCTTTGGGCTCAGCTCGATCTCTTGTCGACTTATTCATTGCTTTAAAATTTTTGTCGAAATAAGTCTTCATTCTTGGTAATGAGGAAATCGTAGGTATCTCGAAAGAGTACCATTTCCCTTTCCATTCTCAAAATCCCATTTTCAAAGCCCAACATTTGATTTATACGGCAATCAAAGGAGCAAAGATTTTGCCACAAATTGCCGGCAATTAGTTGCCCAATTCAGATTACTGACAACACGAAGAATTAACTGTTTTGGACTTTCCAAGTTAGTCCACAACGAATTCAAAAACCTCAACGTTCAACAAGATTTCCTCGTTTCTTTTTTCGTGTTTATTCGAAATTTTCTCGATATTTCGAGGACTATGGGTGATTTGGAAATGAAGGTTAGAGCCTACCCGACCCGAGAAAAGTCATCAGATCAAAATCTCTCTCCCGGAAATTTTGCGATTTCGAGGTTCAATCTGGAGGAACATAAAACTTTTTTGAAATTTTTTAAAAACTACTTCAGCTCAATTGTAAATGCTCTGAAATTCACGAAAAACACACTTAAGACAAAAATATTTTTCTTGAATCTTGAAGCTGAAACGACTAGTGAAACTGTGGTCGAAGAGATCACTGAAAGGCCAACCGCTGTAGTTTAACCAAACTTACTGGTGTAGCAATGGTTGTTGTTTATAAAGTGGCTTCAAGTAAAATGACTATTGATTTGACCTACCGTAGTTTTTGTCGTCGTGGTGGATGTTATATTAGTAGTTGTCGTAGAAGTAGTTCTAAAAGACCAATCTCAAAGTTTAAGCAAAAAAAATACGCTGAAGTAGTTGTGGAGGTAGTTCTGAAACACTGGAATCATTAATTATTAATCTAATATATGTTGTAGATATTGTTGTGGAAGTAGTAGAAGTTGATGTTCAGGTAGATTGTTAAAGAAAAAGTAGCCAAAACCGTTTTTCTGCAAAAGGTATTTTGAGATCAAAAGTAAATTTTTCTTTCTTTTCTCCATCTCTTGATAACTCTTGATAACTTCCGAGGAAATGACTCCTTTTTAGGCATATTCCAGTGACCGAACCGAACCATTCGGAGAAATGTATGACATTTCAAGGTTTATCAGTAACCCGCTCCCGGAAGAGTTCACCTCAAAAAAGGCGTTTAGTGGAATGACAGCTGATTGAAAAAGTAGAGCTCGTTATTTGATCGATCCATGGGCTGTTGTCCCCTCTCGATGGCGTCTAATAAGTCATGAACTCAGCTCTTTATTCACATTCACCTTAGGAGCAACTAAACGAGCAAATAGTAACGGTCACTATTAAAGTTGTTCAATTTTTAATTCTTGAATGTTGAGCGGTATACTATCAAACTATATTCATTAATGACGATCGCTAGCGAATCCGCTGCTATATTTTCAGCAAGTTCGGAAGGTAGAACAAAAAATTGCTCTCCATTATGAACCTGCTTGCCATTATGAACATTTATATCATGGAAGTCCGATGCCTCGATAAGTCGTCCTTTTCTTGAAGAGCTATGTTGATTGGGAAGTGAGCACAGACGGAACGCATCTTGTAACGATAACCCTTGGTGACTCCCTTGATCATGTTTTGAATGTGCGAGTAGACAGTGCGGATGGCAGCGAGCTCTTTGCGATTTCCAAACCATTTTCGAACGCGGATCGTGTTCTTTCCAGGTCGCTCCTAAATTAGATAAATTTATTTAGAAAAAAGAAGTGTATTGTTACCATTTCCATGTGCAAGTGTCTGAAGTCGCGAACGAGCGTTCCTCTTGGTTCCTTGACATGGACAACGCGTCTCTTCACGGTGAAAGTAAGATTCTAATTTCCAATGAAATCTCCTTTTCTAAGCATAAAAAATTCAAAATAAACGAGACCTCGACAAACTCTTGGCAAACTCTGGAAATCGGCCTGTGATACCACAGCCTTTACTATAACGGTCTGTGATAGCACAGATCATTTTCCGCTATCTTGCCACCGTTTGCCGAGGTTTGTCATCCCTTGTCAAAGTCGATCATCTTTTGTTGGGGGTTTGGGGGGATTTGTCGGGAAATAATTCGTTCGATGAATGATTTCTCGAACTTCAACAAGCCATTAGATCGGTGAAATCGAGTCGAACAGTCATCAGATCATGCATTTCATGCTAAGTTACGATTAGTAAAAATGGTTTCTTGCTGAAATTTTAGTGACCAAGCCATCACTTTTCTTTTGTCAATTGACCAAAGTTAAAAATTTTTTGAAAACTTCAATGAAACCATGGATTAGAGTTGAAAAAATATTGAGCGAAACACCCAAATTCTAATTCTAAAACGCAACTCCGTGGGCTACGGTACCAATTGATGGTATAAAAAGAAAATTTTGCTTTTAGGAAATCATTCTTCTCTTCTCCCCGAAAGTGATTGGTGATCTTTTCTGCCATATTTTGAGCTTTTTGAGTTGTTCCCTGTTAGAATAGACTTTTATATTTTTTAGACGCACATCTTACTAGTTTTAAGCATTGTTTTGATGACAAATTGGCTATTTTGGGTCTACGAGACGTTTTTGCTTAAAAACAGCGACTGTTGAAATCTTTTGAGTCGATTTTTCTCCTTTTAGATGTAAAGCTTTGATTATTGTTGCTTATGAACTAAAGATCATCACCAACTTTAGAAAAACCAAAGATTTTATCAAAATTTGGCTAAAAACCGGCATTTATGCCCACCTTGTTGATTGTTTTTGTCCTGTAGCCAACTTTTCTGCCATATATTTACTGATTGCTCTTTTCTTATCTTTCAAATTTCAGTCAGGTTGCTTATCATTGGTTTTCGTGGAGTACTTTTCATTTTTAACTTTTCTTTTTCAGTCGTGTCAAGATGCAAGCTCAACTTTGTTTCTTCAAGGATCTCGATTCATTTCAAGTGGAGCCGAACTATTTGGAACTGGTGTATCAAACGAAATCTTTTCGTTTTGTTTACCCAGACGATTTGGATCTTCGCAAATTTTCGGTGAAAGCGCTTGGAAATATCCAGGTCACTCTGCCCGAAATGTTACTCCAGGTTCGATAGTTTTACATTTATGTTAAAGCTAAACTTCATATAAAGATTGATTATAATATAACGGAAGTCTTTATAAAACGGCTTCTCGCCTTCACTTTTCAATTATGTTATATGAAATATTAGTAATCGGTATTTATTTATTTACTTCTAGTATGAAACTGATGGCACGTGGAGTGCACTTCATATTGTTGATTTATGTGCTGGATTCATCGACATGATGAGATTTGCCGATTTTCTACTAAAACTGGGAAACATTGCAGGCTATCAACAGGTTTGATTTTCGTTTTTATTGGAATCAAGCTTGATTCTTAGTCTTTAATCTTTAACTCATTGGTTTTGAAATTAGCTATTTCGTTAAAAAATTGAATACAAGAGCTGATTAATTTAGAAGTTTTTAGTTGATTGTGCCAACTTCCGATGCATCAGCAGAAATACAATCGAATTCTGAAGATGAAGAGGAATCATTCGAGGATTTTGAAGGCGATGAATTGGATGAGAGCATGTTAGTTGTATTACCAGTTCACCTTGAATGAAAGTTTGCATGAATGGATTTTTCAAAATTGAATACATTTGTTAATTTGCACGAATTTATCAAAATTTCGCTTTATCTTTCATATAATATAGAATAATTATTGCTTTTTAGTTCTGTTGACCAAATGAACCCACGCCCCCGATTCAGTCTGTTGGAGGATTACACAAGGATGGACGTTACTCAGCAATATATTGAGCTCGCTGTTGGTGGAGAATTCTATCGTTTCGCTCATCCACCTCCCAATCGAGCCTGGGAATTCACATGGAGGCGCGGCCGGCTTCCACCTGGCAAAAATCAGCGGCTTCTCATTTACGGCGTCATTCTTCAGGTTGTTCTTTTTTTGCATTTGAACTCATGTGTCTTGTTTTAAGGGACAACCTCTGCAGCAAGCACCTCATCAGGATGCTTATGACGTCGACCTGTACATTACGTTTGAAGATGCTACTCTTTACTTCCAATTTACGGACGCTCTTCGCGCCCGAGGTTATGTTCCCGTTTCTTGAGGTGAGTTTTTTAACGTTTAATTTATTGAATTGATTTTCTTATCATCATATTAGTATTTTTGCAACGCTATATTTTGTCTATAGTATAAAATTGAAAGCAATGACATAAAATGAAATCTCCGTATGTTCAGTTATCTAATTTCCTGTAAATAATAGCTGTAATGTTATAAAAATATATCAACTAGAAAAAATAATGTTTTTTAATTTTCAGTGTCTCGTCACAAATGATGCTTATCTCTTAAGAATTGGCTGAGAAAAATGTTAACGTTTATTTAGTGTTTGTTAATAAATCATTGTTTTAAATCCTTATTGAACTGCACTTGAACTTTTTTATAACTAGTTAGCTTGGATCAAAATCAACTTGTTGAAAGAAATGCTCGGAGTTGAAAGTTCGCGATGCTGAACAACGATTCAATTGGAAACCAAAAGAATTGACTACACGGACTCGATTTTTATTTGCTTTACTTTCATCACATTTCGTTCACTTTAGGTTGTCGTTATCTACCTTAACCTGTCGGCTGAGCAATTTGCTGAATATATTGTAAAAGATGAGGTCGGTTTTAAAGTTTTTCTCCATTTTTAAAGAAATGTTTTAGAGAACTTACATAGAGAATCAAGGATCGTGCTCAAGGGTGGAATACTTTATTTTTTTTATTACTTGCATTTAGTATCTTTTATTTAGCAACAATGCTCCGATAGAGGATTTGGCTGAAGCACAGGAGTGTATGCCCGTCTTTTGGGTCAGCAAATGGGTGGACTACTCCGATAAGTATATGGCATCGGATACCAGCTATATGACAACTCGGTGGATTTGTATATTTTAATCATTTACGCTTATTATTTTCAGGTTGGCGTTCTCCACAACGACAATTCACGTTTGGTACTCGATGCTGCTGGTCTCAACTTGCAATACGTTGAACGGGACAACTACGAGGAATACTTCATGATGAACAAGGACTTGGAGCGAATGAAACACTTGGAGAAGAAAACGACTCTACTCAATTCTTCCGCGACTACATGAACCAACATCTCCTCAAAGCTGGAGAGAAATTTGCACCAAAGGTAAAGTTTGAAACACTTTTCTCGTATAATGTTCTACTTTAGGAAGGTAATGAGCTGGCTCGTCTCCCATGTCTTTGCAGTTGGTTCCGCACTGGATCAGCGATCGTTTTGCACCTCACAAATGGCACGCTACAGATCAATTTCTTCAACGATCACATCAAGCTCATCCTATGCCCTCATCTTGGCGCCGCTAAACTTATTGATCGCGAGAAGAAGCTGGGCACTTTCAAATTGGAGTTTCTTGAAAAGTACGGATGACTCTTTGAGACCTGAAAATCTTCAATTTAAGACATGGATTCGATGGTGATTTGCGATCGCGTCTCAAATACGCCGAGGGAATGATCGAACGATTGATGACAAAAACGAATGTGATCACCAAATCGGAAGTTTCAAGCGCCAGCGGACAGGCGGCATGGTCAAGCGGAGTCAGCTCTCTCAGAGCGAAGTCTCAATCATCGCAAATCTGAATTTTAATATTTGCATGTATTGCTGTCTATCTTAGTGTGTTCTTTCTGCCTAATCTCTTTTGGTCGTTCGTTGTATATTTTTGTGTTAATTTAGACTGACATAGTATACTTGCTTTTTAATAGGCGTTAGTCGACTTTTGCAGATTTTGTTCCCAGTATTCGTTCGTCTGTATTCTTTGAATTAAATTTGACTTGTCAAAAGTGACTATGCTGCCTGAATTGTCTTTGTGTTTTCTTAGTTTCAATCGGAATAAATTTGAACCAACATTGGCAAGATAAATTGACGTACAAAAATACGGATTACGGGCTTGTTCACGACTTACGGCTTTTGTCGACTTTTTATTGATGTGAAGCTGATAATATTCCTCGCATCTCACAGGTAATAAACTTTTTTGAACGTTTAACTAAAGTATTGTATTTTGGACTCGGAGTTCGACTTCAACACGCAATTCTATGCAAATTCACAAGGCAGCCGCTTCATGGAACCCAACAAACAAATGACAACACCGATATTCAATTCAATGAGGAGGACGTGCAACTCACAGAATTGCCCGATCATGCTAGCCGATAAACAAGTCTAAATTGGTTATTAACTTTTTTTTCAAAATAGGAACCAAATAGGAACCAAATAGGAACCAAATAGGAACCAATAGGAACCAAATATGAACCGAGTAGGAACCATTAGGAACGAAATAGCAACCAAATAGGAACCAATAGGAAACAATAGAAACCAAATAGGAATCAAAAATGAACCAATAGGAATCAATAGGAACCAATAGGAACCAGAATATTAACCAAAAAGGAACCAAATAAGGACCATTAAGAACCAATAGGAACCAGAATAGGAACCAAATAGGAACCAAAAAGAAATCGACTGTGGTATGATCTCAGCTTTTTCCTTATATCACGAAGTCCAAGTGTTGAGATATCAATATCGTCAATCAGAATTCTACCAGCAGCGCTTTCAAAGATTCGATACAATGATAGAGAAAGGGAACTCTTGCCTGAATATGCAGAAATTGGTGAATATGATTGGTGTATTTTGTGGCCAATATGGCATCGTCTTATACTTTTGTCAGCACTTGATTTTAATTTTTAGATTCGAAATCCCGTGCTGCGATTCGGTTGACCAATCAGCCAACCACAACGCTCATCTAGGACTTGGATTCTATCGATAGCAAATCACCCAAATCTTTATCAGAGATTCTTCAAAGAGTTGCTGATGTAAGTTATTGGTCTTGGAAATAAAACAATAACCTTCGACCTGAGTTGAGAACTTTAAACTTTAAAAAATCAATGACTTTAGGTTATCTCAAACGCCATCCGTATCTGTCTTGCCATTCCACCGTTATTAGTCCTCATTGCACCATTCTTTCTGCTCAACTTTTTGTATCTGGTAACAAAATCTTATTTTTCACTTCTTAAACATTAATTCAGAGGTTCTATCTACGAGGTGCTCGTCAACTGAATCGACTCAGCTCACTTCAAAGATCTTTTCTGATCGCAAAGTTCCGTGAGACAATTCAAGGTGTTACAAGTATTCGCGTCTTCAAAATGGTTTAAAAATTTTCAAAACACATAAAATAAACGATTTTAGGTAAACAGTGAAATCGCAGAGTTTTCCCGTTTTGTTGACGGAGTTACTATTTGTAATTTTGCCTCCTTCGGGTCAAGTCGTTGGCTGGAGATCAGGTTAGGAACTTGTTACAGAATTTGCTCAATCCTATGATTATATCAAAGTTCAAAGCTACTAGGCTAGATAGCTCACCTTCATCTAACGCATTGCCCAAACTTTATGGAGTAAACATTTCTATTCAGACTGGAGCTCCTTTCAAATTCTACAATCTTCCTAGTGGTCTTGTTTGGAATATTCATGTCAAGAGCTAGTGCTATATCGCCAGCATTGCTTGGCTTATGTATCACTTCAGCAATGGCGGTTGGTAAAACTTCTAAAAAAAGGATATAGAATTTTTGAGCTGATTTTTTTACTCATTCAGACATTTTTTGAAAGATTTTCAGATAACTGAACGATTATACTTGGGTATTAAAGCTTTCGGGCACTTGGAAACAGAAGCTGTTTCGATTGAGAGGATCTACGAATATACAAAGTTGCCTTCAGAGGTAAAATTCTACACTATTTCTACATACAATTTTTCTAGAAACCATGGAAGAACGATTTTGAACCGCCAAGGAATTGGCCACAAAATGGAGGAATAATTTGGAGTGATTACTCAGCCAAATATCGGTATACTTGTTCTTGTTTAATGAAAACGTCAATAAATTTTTAGACCTAATCTCTCCTTGAGTCTGAAGAATGTGAATGTTTCAGTAAAACCGGGAGAAAAGATTGCGGTCATCGGGAGAACTGGGTCAGGTTGGTGGCTAAAAATTAAAATCAAGTGCTGACAAAAGTATAAGACGATGCCAGATTGGCCACAAAATACACCAATCATGTTTCTGCATATTCAGGCAAGAGTTCCCTTTCTCTATCATTGTATCGAATCTTTGAAAGCGCTGCTGGTAGAATTCTGATCGACGATATTGATATCTCAACACTTGGACTTCATGATATCAGGAAAAAGCTGACAATCATACCACAAGTAAGCTGTATTTAAATTTCAATAGTTTTGTATATTAGGACCCAATGTTTTTTTCTGGAACAATCCGTTTCAATCTGGATCCTTTCAAGAAATTTGATGACGAAAAGATTTGGGAAGCTTTAGAGGTTTGAATCGAGTAAAATATTGAACAAGAAAGTTTTTCAGAAATGTCAGCTGAAAAAATGTTTTGCTGAAAGTGCAGAAAAGCTTGAATACAAGATTGAAGAAGAAGGGAATAATATGAGGCTGGGATTGAGATTCGAGAAAAGAGGAAAGAGTCATCTTAGTATGGGACAACGGCAGTTTATCTTTTTGGGAAGAGCTTTGCTAAGGAAAGCGAAGATTTTGATTTTGGATGAGGTAAGGGGATTGTTGATCAGATTAAGGGTAAAGCTGTTAATTGTTTTGTGCACTGGGTTATCAATCTCACTCAAGATAGAGATATAATCTGATATTGAAGTCAAAATGCATAGCTTGTGAAGTTTCTATTTCCAAAAACTTAATAGGCTACTGCTTCCTGTGATCCGAACACGGATCGTCTCATTCAAGAAGTGATTCGTCGAAATTTTGCCGATTCATCAGTGCTAACGATTGCTCATCGACTGGAAACCGTTTCCGACTATGACAAGTTTGTTAAAAGAAATCAATTAGAATAAAGATTAGAATAATAGGGTTTTAATTTGACATTAAAGTTCAAGTTCAAGTTTAATTTGACATCAAGTGGAAAGTTCAAAATCATTTTTACGTATAATTTCAGAGTGATGGTTTTTTCTCACGGTGAAATCGTTGAATTCGATCAAGCTGAACGGCTACTTGCCAATCCCGACTCTTTCTACACAAAAATGCTGAGAAGCTATTATCGAAGTGAATAGAATATTACAATTAAATAAATTATTCGTTTTTGAGTGTCATGAAAAGTTTATTGAGACTGAACTATTGATCTACTGAGTAGATTTCATCAATCGTTTTCTTTAACTTGTCTTCATAGAAGTCTTGATCAAAGTCATTTCTCAGCTGTTTAATGTATCTAGAACTTTAAAAAGTAGATATTTTCTGGAAATGTTTAGAAGAAAATTGAAAAACCTGCTCACTTTTCCAATTTGAACCTCCGTTCATCGACAAGCGGTCTATGATAAAAACAGAGATCTTGTTCATAGGAGAAATAACCAAACAAAAAGTTATGACAGAAAGCTGAACCAAATCTTTGGAGAAAGGAAACTAAATCTCTGAAGAGAAGGAACCAAATCTGTAAAGAAAAGGAACCAAATATGTAGAGAAAAAGGACCAAATCTTTGGAGAAAAGGAGCCAAATCTTTGGAGAAAGGAAACTAAATCTTTGAAGAGAAGGAACCAAATCTGTAAAGAAAAGGAACCAAATATGTAGAGAAAAGAAACCCCAAAGACAGACATAAACAAGTAACTCTAAGAAGTTTTGCCAAAACTTTGATGAAATATTTATTTTTTTGACGGCCAAAATTCTGCTTTATTTTGTTGGAGTACTATATGCTTTCAAGAGATGCTTGTGCTATTTTTATCAATGTATTTAGTGTAAAGGCAAAATTGTAAACGAATTTTATTACAAATTTTACTGTATCTCTATAGTTTGTAGAAGTTTTCCGCATTTATTAAAAGGCGAGAGAAGTCGATTTATTTCAAGAACGAAAGTGAAACAAAGAAAACCGAGACAATTTTTTCTTATTTTGGCTTTGGGATCCAAATCAACGAGGCACTATATGATGGACTAGCAAAATTACTCAAATTTTCCACCCAAAGGGTTAAAATCCATTCAAAATTCCGAGTTTTTTGAAGAAAAATCCTCCTGGGAGTCTTCTGTAATGGATGGATCTCTCGATCGAAGTCATATCCGGTTGGCTGAGTGAAATGTATTGATTGGAAAGTCTCGTACTCATGAGTAAACTTCGTCAAATAGGCCAACTTTTCGATAGAAACCTCGAAATCCGGGTGATTTTCGGTGAAATTTTTCAAATCAAGTTCTTCTGTTCCTGATTCTTGAATGATTTTTATCAAATCCTTATCTAATTCCTCCAAATCTCGATCGAAATTTGTTGAAGTTCGGATTTGAACAGAGGTTTTCTCATTACTAGTTGGTCCATTCTTCAGATATTCTTTCAGGGTAGTTGTTAAATGATCAAAGTCCGAGATTTGAATCCCAACATGTTCAGCGTCAATTTTTCTTGTGATTTTAAAATCAACCAATGTTGAGTCCATATAAACCGTCGAACAGTTACAAAAAGGGGTTTTTTGTAGAATTTCTAAATGATATTGAGTTATCTCCTTTTCTGTCGTCTCTTGATGACATCCAAAGAACCAGAATTCGTCAATAGAATGCGGACGGAAATTCTCGAAAATCCTTCTCCCAAAAGCTATTTGAGAACTGATCAAAAAAGCTTTGGTAGCAATAAGATTCGAGAAAAATTGATTATTATTTATTCTTTTTCTGATAACTTTCGGATATAAATCTTTCCTTCCCCAAAGACCAAAGTGGACTTTTTTACAAAACTTTATTCTATTCAATTGTTTCCAGAGAAGATTCTCATCTAAAAAGTAGATTTTACTCCGAAAAATCCCATTTTTCTTATGCCATTTCAACGGTTTCTCGTTTTCATCGAAAATTTTTGGAGGAACGAAATCGAGTTTAGCAATAGGCCATAGAGAAACAGAGTCTTTAAGGGTTTTTAGGGAATAACCACGTAATAAAAGAGAAATATGGCCGATGGGTAACCAGTTATCCTCAGATAATAGATGCTCGTAGGATCCGATATTGATCTCTTCGATATATTTCGGGAATAATCCTCTTTTAAAGATTAGAGATCTCGTCCGTTTACTTACTTGCAGCAAAATGAAGGCTTCGTTATCATGTAACCAATCGAGAATCGAAGCTTTCAAGAGATGCGGAAGGACAGAGAAGTTGAACGGCATTTTAGGGAGAAAATCTTGATATATTTGCCGGGAATCCACTTGAATACCCTGTAAAATATAATATTAATATGATTAACCAAAAGTTCTCTCGGGAAGAGATTAAAAGTGTTCAGAGTAAAGTTCAGTTCAGGATAAATATATGTTAAACATGGGGGACTTCACCAGAATACTCTCGAAAATGGTATAATTCACCAAAAAAATGTGGCCGAAAACCTATATTGGAACCCTATTGGAACCTTATTCTTGGAAGGAACATATTGGAACCATATTGGAACCATATTGAAACCATATTAGAGTAAAGTACAGTTGGTGGTTAAAAGTATAGACTGTGGTTAAAAGTATAGACTAGAATATTCCAATACTTTCTCTAAAAGACAAGTTTTACACTATAACTCGTAGCTGATCAGATTTGTGAATAAATGACGTAATAATGTTTTCCTCGTTTGGGAAATAAAAATTATGACGATAAAAGAGCTTCCTAAAAAAGTTTTCTTATTGTTTGCCTAACAAGAATTGCCTTAAAAGCCTCTTTAACTGAAAAAAAAGTAGTATAAATATAGTAAAGAAGTCGAATTTTTGCGTCAAAGAAGCTCAATTAGAATAGAAGAATCAGATTCGAATGGCCACAATATAAAAACTAGTATACACTACTGGACAATGAAATATGATATTTGAAAAACGATCGTCACTTTCGCGCGTCTGTAACTCCCTTGTCTTTACCGTATTTGGAAATATTAATATTACCATTGTGTAGCCCTTGAAAAGAGCTTTCAGAAAATGTATAACACTAATAGTTTAAACTCAAAGACAAGGGAGTTACAGACGCGTGAAAGTGACCATCTTTTTTCAAATATCATATTTCATTGTCCAGTACTGTATATCTTTAGAAAATAAATACTAAATCTTCAAATATATTGTAAAGTAAGATGCTTAAAGTGTTTTAGACAAAAAGTTTTCGGAAATTCTAGCTATCTTTCCACCTTTTGTGCAAACAGGCGAAAGTGCGGAGGTCCTCCCTTGTTGGCTGGGTGAAATTGATTTTTTTTAGCTGTCTTTTCTCCCCTTTTCCCCTCAAACAGGTGAAAAATAATAGGAAAATTTTGCTTAGAGAGAAATAAAAAAGTTGCTTTATTAAAGAAAGCCTCCAGTTATTTAATAGTTATTGAAATTGAAATCCCAAAAGATTGAAATCTATTGAAATCTCTATTGAAATCCCAAAAGGATTGATCTGTTATAAAAAGAATTGAAAAGAATCTCGTTTACTCTAACTATAAACTAAGGACTAATAGATTTATTCGAAGAATTTCGTTGGAAAACAAAGGTTGGGTGAATAGAAAGACTTCATCTCCGAAAAAATAAGACAGTCGTTTTCCAATAGAAAGTAAATGATAATTTAATTAATGATTAATTCATCGTTAAGCTATTGGATAAGAATGGCTGAATTTATAATTCACTGTAAAAGAAGTGATTTATTGTTTTATTTAAAATCGACGAGCTTCGCAATAGAAAATGAACGATAATTACGAAAAGTTAAATATGAGGTGTATTTCAATAGCTTGAGTCGAAATTCTTCAGGCAACCCGTGATCGATATCTATTTCTGTAATTAAGAATTGAATGTAGAAGTTTGAATGATCCGAGAATCAGTCCTCCGATCCAAACAATTAACGCGAGGACTGCCTGGAATTTTTTGTTCAAAAGGTTCTCCAAAAAGAGGAACTGGAAGCTCAAAATCAGCTCAAAAAGTCAGCTGAGGAAGTATGACTGTGGGCGGGACCGAACTCACGATCGTTGGATCCCCGGGCGCGCGCAATAACCAGATAGAGATAGCACAAATTTTGGCTCTTAGAAGGCGGTATTTATATTCGAAAATTGGTCAGTTCAAAAGTCCTAATTGTAACTTTGAAAAGTTTTTAAGTTTAGTCAATAAATTCGCTCAAAACTCATCTCAGAATGCAAGAATACTTAGCCAGAATACCCTATTTTTTCACTTTTTCCGATTTTTCCGACTTAGTTCAAAAATTTACACGTTTTAGACAACGCCTTATTTGAGAAAAGTTGCATTGGTGAAAATTTCTATCTTTAATTCGAACGACTCACATTAATTTGCTCTTTGAATTTTCATCATTAAATCCTCAAAACTCTGACTCTCATCAAGAAATTAAAGAAATATCAATCATATCTTTCCTGCTCATTTAATGCTAGTTTACCATAAATTGAGACTACGACACTTCCACGCAAATATAGCTGGATCATTTTACTGATTAATTTTCAAAAATTTGACTATTTCGAGAGTTGGAATGGCTGAATTGGATATCAATCAGATCTTTCTTGTTCATTTAATGCTAGTTTACCATAAATTGAGACCGACCTGAAATATAGCTGGCATTCTGATCAATTTTGAATTTGTTGTTTCGAGCTTCAAAGGCTGAATTGGTATCACAGACTTCTTGTTCTTATGCTAGTTTACCATAAATTGAGACTCTGCATTTTTCGTCAAATATAGCTGGTCATTTTCTGAATAATTTTCCAAATTTGACTATTTCGAGGTTGGAATGGCTGAATTGGATTCATCAGTCTTTCTTGTCCATTTATGCTAGTTTACCATAAATTGAGACTACGACATTTTCACTGAAATATAGCTGGATCATTTTACTGATCAATTTCGAATATTTAATGATTCCGAGACTTGGAATGCCTAAACTGGATATCAATCATATCTTTCCTGCTCATTTAATGCTAGTTTACCATAAATTGAGACTCGACCCTTCCACGCAAATATAGCTCGATCATTTTACTGATTAATTTTCCAAAAATTTGACTATTTCGAGAGTTGGAATGGCTGAATTGGTGTCATCGTCTTCTTGTCATTATGCTATTTTACCATAAATTGAGACTCTGTCATTTTCACTGAAATATAGCTTGATCGT